GTGCTCTCATGCTAACTGCTCGTGAAGATCGTCAAGCGGATGAGTTGCTGAATTCGTTAACTGACTTGGACTCGGTTACACTACTGCTGCAACGGGAAAACCTCTATCTCGACGAAGTGCGAAGTGTGTTTGATGTTGTATTGGACGAACATCCTGCAATGGCCAATCGAATTGCCCCAAATGCAAGAACTGTGCAAGATCTGGATTTTGAAAATTGCATTGTCAAAATTTTGGAAGGTCGTGAATTCGACCTTACGCCACAAGAACGTGCAAGTGCTGTGAGTTTGCTCAAGAGGTCCGCCACCCGCGAAGCGACTACAGCACCCGCCTCCACTTTGGCCGAGCGCGCTGCTATTCGCATGGCCAACGCACCAGCAGCGTCGGATTACATGGACCTTCGCTTCCTTCGTCCAACCTCCAACATCTGCGAGAGATTTTTTTCGGTTGTGAAGCATGCCTTGTCGGACAACCGCAGTCGAATTTTGCCAAAAAATATTGAGGCTCAAATGTTTCTGCATTTTAATGCAGAATTCTGGACCGCTGAAGACATTCGCGATTTGACGGACGCCGAAGTTGAAGACTAAGTCACATTTTGTTTGCATGTACGAGTTGGAATAATTCGAATAATTCATTTTTCATTTCCTGTCAAAGAATAACTTATTCTTGTCCTTGTCACTTTTGAATGAATACTGAATATCATTTTGGTCATCCCTGGTTACAGGGCTATGGAGTACAGGGGTCCGAAGTTACAGGGCTACGGTTTCGGCATGGGAAAAATGTGTTGGAACGGGTAATTAATAAACATATGATCGGAAGTAATACTCGAAAATTCTCCAAACTGACCTGATTTAGTATTCCCTATTAAGTACGCTCGGAAAGTCTCCCTATTGCGCAAAGTTGCTCGAAAATGCTCCATTTTGAGGCCTCGCTCGGAAATAATCCATCGTTTGCTCGATCTAATGCGCACACCTGAGAGATAGTGCCTCATTAAAGCCCGTGGTAGATCGAAGTCGATCGGGAACGTGAAGTAGATGAACATGAGTGTTCGTGGCGAGTCATGGTAGTTTAGCATTCGTGACGTGGTGATCATTGCAGGTCGTGGTGGCATACATGTATTGGCAGTGGTGGCAAATCGTACTTGGTTGGTTGTGGAGGTAGTGGTACAGTAGGTAGTGGTAGGTCGTAAGCTGTGTTGGCATGTACGCGGTGGGATGTTGGGTCGTCCATAGTCCTGGGAGATCGTGAGGTGCCGTAGGTTCAACCTGGTTGGTTGTGGTGGCAGGCACGTGTTTACACACTGAGTGGCGGTTAGTACGTGGTAGACCGTGGTAGTGGCAGATAATCGGATAAACGCAGGGAGAAGAGGGTCAGGAAGGATGGCGGTTACCTAACACCTGTTCTCACTCGCCTTTCCTGATATGACTATAACTAAGGATTCGTTCAGTCGAGCGTTCGGTTTCAGGCCAACATTTTACGTCAGCTGATCCGATATTATTGAGTTCAACGTACCCGTGGATTCAATACGCACCACGGGTGTTGAAAGGATTACTTGCGCGAGACATGCGGCATTCGCGACGTTGATAGCTTGCATGGACCAACGATAAATTGTCTTTCTTGTCAGTTTTTCCACACGACAAGGGTGATGTTGACACTCCTTGCATCGAATCTTCTGCGGCCAAGGCCACCACCAAACATCCTATGGGTAGAATTGTCCCAAATGGCGTCTGTAATTTAACGGTGGGACTTGTGGAGGAATTACTATGTCGATGTGGAAGACGAACTCAACGCGAACCTTGAAGCAAAACCCACGTGCATTACATTTTGTTCTTTCCTGTAGTTGATAACACTTACAACCTCCGATTGGAAATGATTGATAGGTTTACCGGTTACGTGCAATTATTACTATATTATACAGGTATTATCATATTTGCTGTACCACATATCTCCACCTCAACCTCTATAATCAGATAAGTCCAGGAGAAATCAGATATAGGTGTACAGAAATTATTCGGAAGCACAGTGAAAATTAAGCATCACTCGTGATCGATTTTAACCATATCTTCTAAGATATTCTAATTAGGACTCTCTAAGCATTAAAATCGGATTTCTAGTGAAATTCTCTACCTGGAAGTATACCCATTCAAGGCAAAAACCTATTTTGACTGTACAGTTCTTCAAGGTCAACAAAGTGACCCCTATCAATCATTTCCAATCGGAGGTAGTATATCGATTGGCCTAAAAGACAAAACAACGGATTTCAAGTTTGCTTGAGATATAAACTACTTGTAGTACGTACTACTCCGTCCCAAATTACCTCCACGGTTCACCTCGAGTTTTGCCACAAAATCATTTTTATTACGAGGATTAATTTAAATATGTCCTAAATCAGACTGATGATCTTTGTGTAGCGTGAAATGCCTCTTGTGAAGAATCAATAATGGTCAAGCCAATTGGCCCAAACTACTTACATGAGCATTGCCAATATAGAGGACGAAGACTGCCATCATGGTTACGCCATGGAAGTCTGCCTGACTCGAGCAGAACGGAGGCGATGAGTACTCACATAACATAGTATAACTATATTGTAGAGATTACGCCACCATTGTGTATGTATATTGTTACCCATTTGACCATACATTAATCAAGTCCGGTGAGTGATTTAAATTCTGCCCTGAGGAGCAATATTCTTTTGATGATAGAGTGCACATTATCCAACAAACCTGCAATATAAATATGAGCAAGCAAAACACCGAATTTCCAGCTTCTCATTGGTACTAATTTCGTACAAATTGGGTAAATGAGTCAAATTTTGAGGTGAGTCGAAGTTGAAACGTGGAGGTAATTTGGGACGGAGTAGCTGCTAGTGTAACGGTTAAAATCCTAGTATTTCATAATGGACCCTGGGTTCGTATCTAGCTATGTATTATCTGATTATTGGGTAGTTACATGTACGAACGCTCTAACGAAACCCTCCCGGACTTGATTTAATATAAGTACTCGGAGTTTTCTATGAAATAGAAGAAATGACAACTCTGTGGCGCTCGAATCGAATCGTCCAGCATCCATGTTAAGCCAAACTTACACTTAATGGAAAGCACCACTTTCTTATAATGTGTTTTTATTGGAGTCTCCTATTTAAGCCAAACTTACATTTAATGGAAAGCACCACTTTCTTTCAATGTGTTTTTATTGTTGTTGGAGACTCCTATTTACGCTGCCACCTCTCAAAATCCTGAGATACCATTACAAAGTCTCTAAACTGTAGTCCTGACGCACACACACCGTGCAGCTATTGAGCTCGATAATTTGGCCGCTTCGGTAAATTTTGGATCCGTCCAGCAAGCCTTCATCGTACGTGTTGGATACAGTAGGTCCGCATTCAATCAAAGCAACCTGCTGGTGAGTACCGTGATTGACAACTGTAACTCGAACTCATTGCAAAATCTATTGAAACACGATATGACCGAGAAAGAATGATCACTTGTTGCACGAGCATATTCTTCATCACTGACAATCGATTCAAGCAGCACATAACTCTTTAGCGTAGTTCTCCCGGTAGCATACTTTAACATCCGTGGCGCCCGTCGGCTCGTTTGAAATCGACAGGGCTCAGTGGCTCAGTCAAAGTGCGAGCAAACGCTAAGGAGCGCGTCGTCGTGAAGGTACCAAGCGCCGAAAACGTCCCGAGGCTGCGAGAGTATCAGCGAACTAAAATCTCAGTGCCGCTCGGATGTGACGTTTTAGATTGAGTAGACCAGTGGACGACTGGCCTGGGTGGTGCGCTCCTGGCGCGCCATCGATGCTTGCCATCCCACGTTACCTGGATGCATGTGGTGTCCCAACGTCACTTTTGAGTTCAAGAGTGGACGGCAAACTGTAATGGTGTGGGGAGCTATTGGCTTCAATAATGGATCTTGGTCGTTAGTTGTTATTGATGGCAAAATGAAGTCTACGGACTACCTGGAGCTCCTGGAGGAGCAATTACCGGACAACTTTTCCAAATTGGCCTTGCCCGTCGACTTTGTCTTCCAACAAGACAACGCCCCTATCCATAAGGCCAACAATGTCATGGGTTTTTTGGACGAAAACGCTATTCAAACGCTTGCCCCCCCCCCAAAACCCAGACCTCAAACCCTTGAGCATATTTGGGAAGAAATTGGTCGAAAACTTCGAGTTTCGCCCGCATCTTCGTTTGGAAACCTGCAATTGAAGATCGAGAAATTGGGGGATGAATTTCGTGGGATTACATCCGCAATTTGATACATTCTATGCCTAAGCGATTGCAAATGGTTATTGCAGCGAAAGGTGGCCATACGAAGTATTAGTACATAATGACTTGAAGTTTCGAATCCACAATATAGTTCAAGACATTCATCGATATCATTCTTGTATTTGATTGGTTAACGCAGGAGCTTTCCAGTGAACACTTTCGATTTGTCGCTCCAGAAACACCTTGTGAGATATTGCAAAAATAGAAAATAGATTATTTTTCTTGATTGTATTTGTTCAGATATTTTTTTATATCGCACCTACTGTATTAACTTTGCCGCTCCTGCGGCTGGGCCCAGAGCGCGGTGGCTGGCGAAGGAATGGCCCACTCTGCGCATGTATTACAACTCCGACCGTGAACTTAGCCAAATGCGAAAATCCCGGTCTCAAATCGATGCCTCGGACGGGTTTTTGAGCTTTGACGTGGAATTCACAGGTCTACAAATTATGTTCGCGGAGCGTTCACATGAACTGCTGGCGTTTCCCATCGCTGGTGTCATCCGCGTGCTTCGTCATGGCCTCAACTGTCTGCATTTTGATGACGACCAGGTTCGACTAGTATTTCTACGTAAGTACGTAGCTTCACGTAGCTTTGAGGATTGAGTGGACACTTCCCTGAGTAGGCAAGGTGGATCAGGTAGCCAACACGCGATACTTGCTAAGTTTCTTACAGCCATCCCTGAGACGCCATGTGGAATCTTCTGCAAGGGTACTTTCACGAAGCCGATCGGTGCGTGATGGTGTTTTGATGCATGCAACAAGACGAAGCCGAGCCACGGCTCCAACGTCGACAGAAGCATGTCATGGAGTGGTTGGATTATTCCAAACGGGAGCGGGCATCAGAATGAAAAAGTCGGCGTGTTTGTAGGCTTAGTCATTCGACGAGCAACCCCCACGGCCACCACAACCCGTACCCTTGTGATTACAATGAACCGGGGAGAAAGCCTGCCAGGGTTGCAACCAAATTGCGATGAAGCCGTCTTGCGAAAATTATTAAATTGTTTTGGATGCCAATAGTTGATTGGGCAAAATTGCTGTAACGTAAAATGTCGCAGATCGTTGCGAAAATGCAAACGTGCGTTTCAGCACTCGGCAACCAGCGCAATGGATTCAGGAGGGAAGGTTCTCGGGGTAAACCCCGGGGTAAATCCCCCTCCTGAATCCATTGCGCTGGTTGCCGAGTGCTGAAACGCACGTTTGCATTTTCGCAACGATCTGCGAACAGGGGGGTTTACCCCGAGAACCCTCCCACCGAGCACAAGAAGATTAGCGACATACTACAATGCATAAATCCAATTACAATACTACAATTTCGAGGAAGAGCCTTCTCAAATGCTTTCCTAATGCAGTCTTTGGTGATCACGTCCCATGCCTTTATGGAGCACTTTATCATTGCAAGGAGCTTTTCGGTAGCGGTAACCACCGGCTCCTCCTCAAGCCACAACATTCTCATAATGCCCATAACCCCGACATCTAGCGGTTGACAGACACTTGTGCAGTTGGGAGGCAGTGGTTCCAACACGCTGAACACCTCCTCTACAACAGCTTGGATTGACTCAGGGGTCACATGGGCGTCAAAATTGTCCCCCAAAAGGACACTTGACCCGCCAATATACGCCGGAAGCATGTCAAAGTACGTTCGCCAATCTCGGCCATCCATCCAACCCTTCTCCTACACCTCGTATAGGTGGCCTTCAGGGTAGGTGGTAAGCTCTTTCTTTTCGGTCGTCCCGCCAGAAACCCCACGCACAACGAACAGAATTGGAAGTTTGCTACCTAGTACAGTAAGCAGAAGTCAGTACAGTTAGCAGAAGTCGTTCAATTTGTCGAACGGTTCGCACGACATGTCAGAATGTAATCCGGTCGGAATGCTTTTGGGAGACGTCCCGTTTCGCCGACTTGCCGATCTCAGCCCAGATTATTTTAGCCGGCATATCATAGTAGACAGCAGTCTCGCCAGCATTGAGAATGTCCGCCAGGGGTTGTTCGTTGTATTTGTTCCAGAACGTGGCTGAAAACTTGTGACGGATGCGTGTCATTTCGAGTTCGGCGAGCTTCGTGTGAGTGGGTACGCGCTGGCTGAAGTTGTATCGTTTTCCGAATCCTTGGCACAGCCGCAGAAGAAACGTGTATCCAGCTTGGCTGCGGTGTAGGTTTGGAGCGAGTCCTTGTAGTGCTGCTTCATGAACGTTAGCATGTGCAAGCTCGTCAAGATGTGCTCTTCCCACCTGACGTCGTTCATGAACGTCAGAAGGTCATGGTGAAACGGGATGATTGACTTGGCTCCTTGTCCACCAAGAGTCGTGAGCTTTTTGTTGCTTTAGTATCCGTAAGCTCTGTGTGCTGACGGTGCCACGCCCACAGTGTGGCCCGTGGAAATCCATTCAGTACACAGAACTTACGGAAACTAAAACCGCTGTCCTTGAATTGGGCTAGCAGCAACCGCTTCTCGGCGATGGTGTATGACTGTTGTCGTTGCGTTGGCATTGAAATGGCGAAGTGCCAGGATGTCGAGTTTGACTTTTGAAATCCTCAAACATGGTATGTCGTGATTGGCTCAGTCGAAATTAATTCAGTTTGGGAAGTAGGCGAATTTTCAATTAAAATAGATCGATTTATGGAGGTGGCCAAGTTTTTCGGGGCGCCGGCTTTCTCCCCAGTTCATTGTTCTAGTACGTCCTAGGCTCGTACAAACGATAGGTACTTGAGCTTGGACGAAGTGGCAGCCGAATGCGGCGTGGACCAGTCTGATTTCAATGACGACGAGCCTGCCAAGAAGGAAGCGTTGGAGGCGTTTGTGGCCGCAAAACTCGCGACTTTGCTGCCACGTTCAACGACCGATTCGTAATCCAGTTTTCATGCAAGTTCAACGACGTCCAGAGTACTGTTGGTAGTCGTAGTACTAATAGTTCCTCACAGATGGCGAGGAACACATACACTGTATTCTCGACAAGAGTTATATACTAGTAGTACTTATATATATATACTTATTGACTGTGAAGTACTTCGTACTACGTAGTATTTACTAACACTGTCTGTAAGTAAGCCCTGTTCGGGCAACTTCTAACGGGGCACCTTCTAAAGTTAGTATAAGTTAAAAATAGAATAATTTATTCTGAAAGGATCTGGTCAAACTGTACAGTAGTACGTTAACAAGGACAGGAATGATCTTTCAGAAATATTATATAAATCATTCATTCTGCGAAGACCGGGGTAGGTACAGTGTTTGGGGGGCGTCGTCGGTTCATTTATTCATAGCCGCCGTGATCGACCTATGTCTTAACTATTCCAACGTAGTCAGTCAGTCGTCGCAGCACCACAATCCGTAATTCTGGATAGAATTGTCGTTCAATTACTTCCGAACTCTAGTACCGGTACCGGTATGTATAAATACCTACTTACACGACTGCGCGTCGTGGTTGATTCGTTAAAAGGTCTTCGTCGGGCGCGATGACCATGACGTCCGAGCCCACAATGGACGCTCGGGACTTGCGTCGTTGGCGGGGGAGTTGCAGCGGCACCACCGCTTCGTCCTGGGCATCGTCAAGTTCAGAAAAGTACGAGCCCAGCATGGTGCAAAGTGCCGTGGCCAGCGACGTGGCGGTGAGCGACGTGACCCAAAATGCGTAGCCCCACCGTTGGATGCAGCTACCCATGACGATTCCCGCCAGTCCGGTGGAAATATACCTATACATACATAGCATATTATTCGCCAGATGCGATCAAAACACACATGTGGCGTTGGATGCTTTCTTTACCCCACGGCCGTGAAGAGACCGACGGCGCTGGCAGAAATGTCCTCGGGCAAGTCGGCGGGCACGGTGTAACTGAGCAGGGTGTAGTTGCCAAGGAGGAATACGCTGACGAGAAACACCAACACCCCGAGAAACGGCGTCGAGATGGACGGAGCCAGCGCGTACAGCAAGAGGAAGGCCCCAGCTTGAAACGTGGAGAAGAGCACGATGGGCGGCATCCGCTTGGATTCAAACATGGTGTCGCTGATGTAGCCACAAAGAAGCCCCCCCACAAACCCCCCCAGCGTCCATGCACCCCCAAGGATCGCGTGGTCGTCTGCGGTGAGGGGTACAGGGCGGACACTGTCGAAGAACGAGTACATCCAGTTGAGCAGACCGTCGCGGGCCCAGCTGAGGCAGAATACCGCGGCGAGGTACCCCAACAACGTGCGGTTTTGAAGCAAGGCCCAGATGGACGGACGGCGTCGGTTTGGCGGTAGGACCGGCGCCTTTAAGCGCGATGACGAGAGGGCATTCGTAGGGGGCGGGACGTTTGCGACGCACGTGAACACGACGACACTTATCACGAGCAGCAGCACCGCCGGAATAAAAAACAGATACGACCACCCGAACGACGTAATGATCGAATGACCCGAGCCAAGGGCAAGGTAGTACCCGCTGGCCACAAAGATGTTGAACACCCCTACGAATATATACATGCCAACTTCGTTATGCCCAATCCCAGCGCTCGAACGATGCAAGACGACGGAAGGGCGATGGAGAAGTACAAGAGAGAGAGCGAGAGAAGTGGGGAATGTATAGTACCAGAAAAGATACCGCGCTCGCTGGGCGCGTACCACATGGCGTTGATTTTCACCACGGCACTCGTGCCAAAGCCTTGCAATGCCACGTTTGAGGCAAAGAGCAGCATGAACGGAAGCTGCGACGACGATTTGGTCGCGAAGAGGCAACCCAAGATCAAATTACACACGCCAGCACCCACACAGGCCACGAGCATGCCAGTGTGTCCCCCCATTCGGTCGGTCCATTGGCCTACCAAAACGGTGATATGTGAACGAGGTTTGGGATGCAGAAATACTGTGTACCTGTTAATGGCGCGGTCAACGCATACGCCCAAGATCCCGATGAGATAATCCTACGAGGCATGATGATCATGTGAGAAATTCGTGCATTGATGTGGAAGGAAGTGGTGTACCAGCCCATGTCGGTGGCCGTCATGTTGAGCTCTTGGCGCACGCTTTCGATGTTACCCGCGGCAATCTGGTCGTCATTCACATCAGTGGACATGACAAGATGTTGTGTAGGAGATATCGTACGTTGTAGCGAGCCATGTAGAATGCTGCATACGCTATGCCTAGAGGCAACCAATTCGCCATGCGTCGCCATCTATGAAAGACGTAGGTTTGAGTCAGCGGTCAAGCGAAGAGAAGAAGGCGAGGACGATCATATATATGTAATGAAGAACAAAGCAACTACTCCCACATGAACTCATGTACCGGAAGGCTCGTGGATGCAGCCGCTTGCTCACTTGAGTCAGCTCCACATCGAATAGTGTGCCTCCGACGACGAAAATGGCGATCGCCGCGGATACAGCCGACTCGACGGACATGGCGATGGGAATTGGATTGTGAACAACGAAAGGGTGTTTCAAAGATCCAAGGCCAACGAACCGTTATGTACCTGGGTAAGCAGAATGATGTTTGCTGAGATGGGCTGAAGGTACGTTCCAGTATACAAACTTCAAGATAGTTTTCGATGATCGCTGGCTTCGTTACGATCGAGAAGTAATGATGCACATCCTCACTCATCAACAACACGCTCAAGGAACTTCCACGGATGAAAGACAGTTGCTGGTACAGTACAGTGTACAGTGGAGTACTACTACTAGTAGTACTAGTGCTGCAAATTGCATCTGGTACTGTATCAGCAGCAGATGCAATTTGCTTTGGACGCTGCGACACTACCATTTACATCATCCCTCGACATTAACATGAGGAATTCAGCGCCGCCAATCGTTGAGGCCGCTTTCAATCTTGTCAATGAACCAAATCCCTTTTCCTGTGAATCACACAACTTATACTACTGTACAAGTACTACTAGTACGTGGTACTCCGGAGTACTACAAGGTAAACCTCACCGTACAGTAAGTAACATGACAATCGCAATTGTACGTTGTTGGGGTCCCAAAATGACTTGGATTTAGTATGCTCAAGCGTGGGACATGAGCCAGTGAATTGTTCGGATCGCCCACGGCATACAAACTTCAAGTTCCACGGATGGACCCAGGATATCAAGGTGGAGGATATCATGCAAAAAGTGCAAGCAAATACGGGGGTTAATATGGAGAATTCTGGTCGTGGAGGTAATTTATAAAAGGGATATGATGCTCATCGTCGTTGTGCCACAATGGGTTCTAGAAGAAAAGGTGCATTATGCTACGTACATTCGTTGAGAAGCAATCATGGCGGCGATGTTAGCTACCCGTAGCAGCACCGTGCAAGTCCATCGCAGCTCGCAACTCGAAGATGACGACTTGGCACTCATCGACGAGGTCATGGCGGAGAGATGTATCCTTCTGCGTCGCACGTCGCCGTCGGCGATGTGGTCTCCGCGGTCGGGGAGCATGAACAACGCAGACAACAACGTGCCCGCCACTGCCGCGGAAGGCACCGAGGCGTCGCGACCCATGTCATTTGCCGCCAACTCCAAACACTCGCATGACGACACAGAGCATTCCTCGAGTCTGGACTCGATCGACGACGCGGACGATGTTGCTATCCATCGCTCGCACTTGACGCACCCCACGTTAAGCATGCTCCAAAGTTCCGACAGTTTGACCAGCTTTGACGACACCTCTGCATCCTCATGCGATCTCACAGCGCAACCAAAACCTACCGACGTCTTGGGCGACCCGAGCGTCATTGTGGAAGAGGAAGCGAGCGGACGTCGGTCGTCCGTGTCGACCAAGTTTGTGGTCCGGAAAGGGTGGATTGAAAAGTGTGGCCAGCGTTTCAAGACGTGGAAGTGGCGGTACTTTGAGCTCACTCGCGACGGGTGTCTGCGGTACTACACGGCCGAAGACAAGGCCGTGTGCAAAGGCTCGATCCAGGTCGAAAAGACGACCAAGAACGACATTGTCATACAAACTCACGTCAGCTCGCGCGACTTTTTCTTCGTTCTATCCACACCCCTCCGCAACTACCTCCTCTCCACGGCCAGCGAGCGCGCCATGACCCGCTGGATTCGCGCCCTCGAGAGCATTGGTAAGGAGACGGTCGGGAGGTTGCAGTTGTTCAGTGTACCGTACAGTTTTCCCTTCACATCGCATTTGTCAACAATCGGTCGTGTCTTTGCATTTGTCAGTTGACCGTTCAATTTGTTGTTCACTTTGCTGTTCAGTTTACCGTTTACATCGTCTACTGGTACTACTGAAGTAGTTGTCAGTTTACCGTTCACTTTGCCGTTGCTCACTGGTCGATGCTTTGTAGGTGCCCAAGCCGGCCCTGGACGATGGGACCCCCTTCGAAACACAGTGCACTTAACAGTGGACGAAAACCACCAAGCACACAAGTGGCGCGGGTACGACGACCCCCACGACGGGAAAACTCCCATGGCTGGCTTCCTGCTCAAGCGAGGCCACGTGCGGACCAACTGGGTCCAGCGGTATTTCAAGCTCGAAAAGCTCGACCACCACCCCGTGCTTCGGTATACTCATCCTCGTCCGCAAAATCCACCGACCATGCTTATGTTTGTGCTTGTAGGTACTTTTTACACGACGACAGCAGCCGCCACCAGACAGCCAAAGGCGCCATCTCCCTCGTCAACGCGTACCTCAGCCCTGGCATTCCCTGTTGCAGCGACGGCCGGCGTAACTACTTTATGCTGCACAGCGGCTCCCAGGAACTGCATTTGAACGCGCTCACGGAAGGTGACATGCGGCGATGGATCCACGCCCTGGCCAATGCGATTCAAGTTCGCCCGACGAGTCCGCCGAGGCCCATGCACGTGGTCAGCGCGCAAGCTGTCCACGTGACCAAGCAGCTGCCGCGTGTGCATGTGACGTTTGAGTCGAAGCCCGCGTTTGAATCACTGCTGCTCGAGAGTCGGGGGGACGCGCTCGTGGTGTCCCGGACGTCGGGGTTGTGCCCGACGGTGCCGCTGGGGGCGCAGCTCCTCCGTGTGGATGGGGTGTCGGTGGGCCTGACAGTCGACGCCGCGCTGCTGCGCCTAGCGCGCGCCACGTACCCCCTTCCCTGCGAGTTTATCGGTGCCCCCGTCAAGCGTGGGGACATGGTCAAGCGATCGAGGTCATCGAGGACGCTCACGTCGTGGAAGACCCGAGAGGTTGTCGTGGAGCATGGGTTCCTCACCTATCTGGCGTGGCATGAAGTCCGCGACTCGTTCTCGCTTGAGGGGTGCTACCTCCAGCTACCCGACGTGCCCGGCCGGCCGCACTGCGTCGCCGTGGGCCGATCCCCCGCCGACAAATTGGTGCTCCAGGCCGCGTCGGAAGACGAACAGATCTCGTGGGCCGCCACGTTGCACTGCAGCATCGTCATGGCGAGCCAGGGGCTGAGTGTTGCAGGGCTCGACACCAACGAACCGTTTTCCCATTAACTTATAAACCACCCCGTGCAATATCCATCACAGTTGTTCATCCCAGGTGTTTTGTATAGTCGATATAACGTTAGATAGAATACACTGGGGGATTTGAACTGCATGATTGAATCGTTCGATAAAGTACTACATGTACCGGTAGTAGTACGATCTATCAACAGAAATACCTGATGAATATCTGCCCATTGGCGTCGACGATACTGTCCACTCAACGCGGCCATCAGATTTCCAGCGACTTGGTCGGCAGTTGAAAACTTGGCACCAACTTTGCACCATGGCAACCGAGGGACCTTCGAAGAAACGATGGCGCCAAGTGTTGCGGCCTGTTGACCATGGATCTGCAATCAGTGCATATCAGCATGGTATGTACAAGGACCTTCGTGGGCTTGACCAAGTCATTGGAACCACTGGCGCTTTTCTACAGCGACGTGATTTGGGATATACATGAATATGTCCCTCGAGGGAGCATTACAACATGATTATTGTCGCCGGATCGTTTACCCCCCTTCATATCGACTTCTGACGGACGGCTTGATACCGAGGCCAATGATACCAAGTGGGTGTTCAAGTGGTGTGCCTGCCTGTCGCACCTGCGAGAACAAGTCATTGCGTATGCCGTGGTCAACGGAAACCTGCCAATGTTAAGCTTGCTGCCAGTCGAGATGTTGCACGCCGTATCGTACTTGTTACTGGATTTGGCGGCTTTGAATGGTCTGATGCATGTCGTGGAGTTCCTGCATGTTGTGATGGGCCACTACCGGGTACCGGGTAGTTACATTGGCAATGAATCTTGCTGCTGAATATGGCCACCTCGACATATTCTCCGCTATCTCCATCACAACAGAAGTGAAGGTTGTTCAGAGTGGGCTGCTGTGTTTGCTGCCCACTATGGACATTTGGATGTGGTGAGGTTCATTCACACTGAGTATCGTTTACCAACCTCCTTATAACCGCATGGCTGCCGTTAACCAAAATGGACTGGTTGTGGCGACGTATATTCTAGACGTGCTGGGGGTTGCTGATCAGGATTCGACCACGATGTCGCAGGACGGAAGGGCCATTTCGATATGGTCAAGTTGTTGCATCAGCACCACTTTGGTTGTACGACCGATGCGATGAATGCAGCCGCTGGCAATGGCCATCCCGAGGTCGTCCAATGGCAACAAACCCATCGGACCAAATGTTGCTCGGGCCATGGACGGCAACACCCTGATTGCGTAGGGCACTTCTCTGCATCTTCCTTACTTCTTTCTTTCCTTCCATGTTTGTTGATGCATGCATCATGAAGATGGAATACTGACGTGATCGTAGCACGCGGTATGACCACGAAGCATTCAATGGACATTTGGAGATTGTGAAATGTCTCCATGAATATCGTCCAGTCGTCCTGGGCTAGGATGGGTCACCAGTGGAATATGGTGGAGTTTTACGTCTCGCATGAACGTGGAGGTAAATGTCAAACAGGCTTGACGTTGGGGAAGGACGATCATATTCGCTACTACAGGATACTGTATGATGGAATCGAGTTTGGACAAGTCCTACTTACTACTTATCCGGATACTAGTCTTCGAATTGTCCACTTATACAGTTAAAAATCAACAAAAAGTTTCCAAATATTCGGCCAAAAGAACGACACGCTTTTACGTGGGCAATTTTCTGTGAGTTGCGGGGCTATTCAAAACGCAAGAGTCGCCGCCGCTGTGATGTTCAAGTTCCTCAAGAAAAACAAGGGGCTGGAAAACGCTCCATCGGAAGTCGAGATGTTAGAGCATGTGAATGAAGCATGCAGCCACCGCCCAGTGGCGACGTTCGACGTCATGTGTAAATCGGAAACGGACCTGCGCATCACGGTCGAGCGACGCGGTCCTGTCACGTCGACCGCGTACGCGTGGATGGTGACCAAAAGCGACCAGCCGGAAGTGCCCGTGGGGTGTCAAGTAGCCCTTGTGAACGGCGTGACAATTCCGGACTCTTCGTCAGCGTTCTTCGCACTCGACTGCTTTCTGGGCTGGCCGAATTGGTTGACGTTCGTGCTGCCGCCTTACAAGAAGGGCGCAGTGCTCAAGAAATCCAAAGTTGGGTGGGAAAAGTGGAACGATCGCATCCTCGAAGTGCGCGGCGGACGTTTGCGTTACTGGGACGCGTCCGAGCCAGGACGGCGGAAAGGGCACTTCGAAATGCATAATGCCAAGATGAGCTGGGCCAACACCAAGGACCGGCCGTACTGCCTGGCCTTGTCCTTCGCGGACGAGCTGATCGTGGTGTCGCTGTCGAGTGAGTTGGAGCGATTCGAATGGGCCGTGGCGCTCACAGCGGCCATTCAGATGGACACGTCAGGACTGGCGCCGTCGCACCAGGACCAAGTGCGAGTGTCGGCGGATAGTGCGAGTCAGAGGACGACCCACGGCGGGGCGGCGTTATTAGGAGATCGATTCAAGTCTGAAATTCCGTTTTAGTTGGCAATGATGGTGGTGTTTTTGTGTGGGGATATCTTTGGCTTATATTCTAGTACTAGTAATTTGATAGCAGCACTACTGGCAAGGGAAAGATCAAGGTGGTGGTGGTATAACTAGTACTGTTAACAGTTAAGTGACTGGGTGTGTATTTTGATACACATTTGATAGCAGCACTACTGGCAAGAGAAAGATTAAGGTGGTGGTATAACTAGTACTGTTAACAGTTAAATGACCGGGTGTGTAGGTTGGAACGCTTCATTGAGGACACACACGACGCCTTTGGCATGGTACTGCGGGTCGCTGTGCGTGGGAATTGGCAGGTAGATGGACGTCACATGGGCAGATGCGATGGGAGTGTCCCAAGAAATCCCCGCCGCGAGATGTGTGAAGTAGTACGTGTACACTGGACACTTGTACGTTGTGTCGGGATGCAGGTCTTTGCGCACCCACGCAAACACTCTACCGAGGGGAAACAACATTAAATAGTGTGCACCTACTGTATGTACATCATGTACAGAACAAGAGAGTACGTACTCGATGGGCTTGCTGCGGTGGATCAAGGCAGTGCCGCCATGGTCATTGTCATCGTCGGTGAGGAGGTTCAGTTGGCTGCCATCCCACTTTGCATTCTAGCATATACCACGCAGCATTCATTCGAGCCATGCTAAACATTATTATATGGATCCAAAATACAACCAACCCGAAAGTACAAGTGGCCCAGCTGAATGCTTGGTGTCGACGTCTGGGAGCATTCGGGAGGGTGTGACAGCGCGGCAAAGCACACGTCGCACACTGGCACGTCGAACGCCATCGCATATTGCTCCAAGGTCGCCATGAGCAACGCTATACGATGTACAACACGAACGACATCATACATTGGACTGTATGCACATATTTTCATGCGATACTACGCTTCAAGAGCGTTCGTACCTTTGGGGTTCTGACACGCTTGCAAGCGAATGAGGGGAAAACGCAACGACCACAGCCATTCCTGGTACATGGACACGGACGCCTGGACCCACGCGACCCAGTCCCTCAATCGAAACGGCGCCGCGTACTTGGCCAACATCCACTCGGCCACGAATCCGCGATGGAGCATCGGGTCGGCAGTGCTTGACGCAGTGCGCAAATGCGTCCAAACGTGCCCCAAGTACTTCTCGAACGCCAACATCTCGAACCACAGCACTTCTTCGACAGTGTTGGACGCAGCATGCCATGCCTTGCGCGCCGCATGTTGAAATACAGTCGCTTTGGGTAGTTGAAACTATTCCATCGTCACATCACACGACAAACACGTTCAAATGAACGATCATAAGGTAATGAGATGATTGTTTACCATCAGAGCGTCCACGAGTGTGGAGGGTGGTATCGCTGAGACCGGACGGTGGTTGGGTTCCTACGTATCGGGCGAATTAGTCCGTGTTTCAAACGAGAACGAAACTGGTTTACACGATTGCTTACCAGAGCGGTCAAGTGACTGAGAATGGACTCGGCCACTTGCCAGTCAAAGTAACCGCGGGTGGACTGCGGGAGCCCCAGCGCTGCCGCATTCAGCCACGTTCCTGGCGGCGGCGGTGGCACAATGTCCGCCAACGGGCGGCGGGGACTACTGTCGTTACTGGCGACGGCAACGGATTTTGTGTGAAAGTCGTTGAGGGCGGTCATAGTATGCAGTAGCGAGCGTTGCCATTGTGGGGGCAACGTAGCTCGACTACTTCTAGCTGTGTCGTTTGAAGCAAGCTCAAGGCACCACCGATACAATACGTCATATTGGTTGCCCAAAGCGACGTCGGCCGTCTTGCTCTTGTATAAAGGCGCAAGAATGGATGCTACTTGGGCAGGAGTCCAATCTTCGGCTTGGATGCCGGGCGCCACGTCCTTTTCGTCACACAGCGTGCAAAGCAAATAGTCTGCTTGCTCCAATTCGTACATGCTGAATTGCGTCGAGGGCGTGGGGCTGCCGGCATGCAAGCCATTCGCGACCAGCAAGTGAAATAATACTAGGCCGAGCCTGTATTTCGAGTGGAAGGTGCTGCCGTTGGCCTGGCTCTTGGCGCTGCGGGGCATCATCATTGTGGTCGTGTTGAAAAAGTACGTTTTCACGTTGCACGCAGGAAAGAGAGCGTCGACGGCGTCGTGGATGACCCACAAGCGAAAGTTCGCGTTGACTGTAATGTCTCCGTGGGCAATGGCTTGGAATTGCCGTCCGAGCTCGGCTTTCTCGGAGGCGTTGATATGGTGCAAATCCTATGGATACCATATACAGTACAGTACTAGTAGTAACATGAAGTGCATAATATAACAGAGTATTCTTTTTATCACCTGCAAAATGACCCACCCGCCGTGGAAGGCAGCGTCCTTGATCGTTTTCAACGCCGACGACACTGCATCCTCCGACGACGCCAGTGAAAAATACCACACTTCGTCTTCTCGAATCCCCATGCTTTGCGCCGACTACCAAATATTATATAGTACGTATATATATATATATATATACAGTCGATATGATCTCATCCACTAGATGATTGGAATGATGAACAGTGCAGTAGTAGTAATAGTACCTCTACAAGACACCACAACGGATGAACTACCATGTCGGCGCTGTATCGAAGGGCGATGGGGCGATGGCTGTCTGTTTGCCCTGCGATGTCGACAATGGACGTGGACGGAAACAGCAGCACGCCAGGAAGCACCGCTAGAACCAGCTCATGCAACATCGCTTGTGTCTACAGATCATCCCAACATATTTTCAAATAAGCCTACATCATCATATATATATATATATATATATATATACGAACAAAATTCAAAACAATAGATTTACGAAACGCTTCGTCCAACATGCACACAAACATATATATATGCGTACAATCCTGTCGTGGGATAGCGTCACCATGGCAAACTTGACGAGAGCGGGAAGCCGCGACACGAATTCCGTCGCAGGGACGTCGTATATGGACTCGGGGGTGGACTGGGTGTACCGTTCGTACACTTGTGGAAAGCTGTCGACATCGTCCACAAGGTCGGCAAACGTGATTCCCATCGTGTGTTGGAATACAAGTTGCCACTTGGACAAAAGTTGAACCGTACAGAGGCGGCGCTTGTTGCCGTCTCGCGCAATGTATACCCTTGCCGAGCCGTCTAGAATGTTTGCCATGTGGATCTAGAAAACACATAGTAAGTATAGTCATCATAAGTCGAATGTTTACGGCGTGCGTGGTGGACGCTGCCTTCTTGACGACGATGCGATCGACGCATGTCCGGATGGCGGACGTGATCACACGACTCGCCACGGCATGGGTCACGGTCGGCGACGACTGGTCTGCCATCACATGAACACCTGGGAACGAACTGTTGCGGAATGCTGTGAGTTGAGCTTTGCAAATGGCCACAATCTCGCGCTCGTTGTACGCGCAGATGCCCAACGCCACGTAGCAGCAAAACCCAAGGTGCAACTCGGACGGCAAACTGTGCAGAGCTTCGCGAACAAACGCGGCGGTCACGTGGTTGCTGATTTGCGCGATCGTCTGTTCATGCACCACGTCCATGGGGAGCTTGGTGATGCTGTCCTGGAGCATATCCATGCATTTATGTCGAGGACGCGGGTCAAAGGTGGTGGCGGCGTCGACCAACGTGAGCCCGCGTCGGCCAATCCTGCATGTTCAATCAAATGTATATATATATATATAAAAAGGTATGTATATATATGTATGTATATATATGGTGTCGTACTCTAGAAATGGCACGCAGGTATATATATATATATATATATATATAGATAGATATATCTATAGGTATGTATATATATAGATATATCTATAGGTATGTATATATATATATATATAGATATATCTATAGGTATGTATATATATGGTATCGTACTCTAGAAATGGCACGCGGGTAGTTTGAATGTGGGCTATGGCGTTGGATTTGATCTGAATGTTGCCCAGCGCCTGTGTGAGCGCACTCATCTGCGTCACCAGCGCTATCATGTCTTCGTCGCATGTGAGGAGATTCGCCCGAGACAGCGCGACTTGTTTCAAGAGGTGGTCCACGTGGGTCCTTTGATGTCGCATGTCGTCCAAGAGCCGTTCATTCAAGGTGCGAAATTCGCTCTAATCGTTTGTATGGCTCGTTGGATTGTTTATTCTTTGAAGAGATATACAGATATCTCGCTCACTTCTTGCGTGGCCGAAAAGTGCATGTAAAACATGTTCATCACGTGTTCTTGCACGTCGGTGGCTTCCAGTTCAAAGCTAAACATGTCAAATACCTCGACCAACTACAAAACGTTTAGTTCAGAGAGGCCACTACCATGTTTGTACTTGACCGTTGTATACACAACAATACCTGAATGCTCCACTGTTGCGTGCATTCGAATTCAGATACGAAATACACGGGTCGCTTCGAGTTGTGGTCGGTCACGGCTTGGATCAGTTCCCACATGACCGGTTCGGAGATTTGGCCCACTTGGTCCACCAAAATCTAAGCAAGTTTGTCACGAACGAGGGGTTTGAACGCAGCAACTAGCGACTGTACCACCACATTCGAGTTTGGCAGGGTCATTTCAAACCGAGACATGATCATCGGGTCGTTGGCAGGGATCACCTCTAACGCCATTCGCTCCGTGGCTTTGATCCAAGTCGTAGCAACGCCCTAAACAATATGAAAAGTAATGATTTCATATTAAAATCATTCCTCTCATTCTTACCGCGGGATCCCACAGCAACGGAAACTTTTTGTAAGGAGGAGTATGCCGCCACCGATTCAAGTGGCTCAAATTGATAAGGATTTGCATGTCCGACAATGTGCAAGCAGCGCGTAGCTCTTGGACGCCTTCCATTCCTAGCGTCGACTCGAGCATGTTGGGCGAAGTGCGGAAACCCGCGGCGGCGCACTGCTCTGTCCACATGTCCACCAGCGGCACGCGTTGGCTTGGGACGACAGTTTTCAAGTAGGCTGCCGTGGCCGCCAGGACCAGGCAGTCCCTGGAAGCAAATGTGTGATATTGTATTCTGGACACGCTTGTACAATATATACATATATATATATATATAGTAGCGTTTATTCTAAACTGGAGTGACATGGAGAATGAATCGACCGACACAACCAAATAAACGAGTCGGTAGAAGGATTTAGCCAATCAGATTGCAGGAAACCATCCACAAAGTCAAATGAGTGTGTGACTTCAATTAGTGTGATACAAATCACCGCAGGACAACTTTTGACATACAAAATTCACTATAACGAATCGATATCGATGATAGATTTGGCGATTCAGAACAACAGTCCACATTTGGGTAAAAGGACAATATATATATATATACCCGATCAAAGTGTCGTCGGCGCATTTCACATCGTGCAATTGCTTTCGAAGCAGAGGCTTGAGGTTTTCAAACACGATGCTGATGCGATCCACGGAGGTCGTGCGTTCGCGGACGTGAAGCAACTCGGTTTGCATGTGCCCCTTCTTTTGCTCGCTTTCCGTCCACGCGGCATGTAGCGCCTTGGTCTTTGTCTCACACACCTTCCACGCGTCGGTGGCCGCTCGCACGGCGCACTCTAGTCGATCCTATCGTTGTGTTTATACTCTAAACTCGAGTGACATGACGAATGAATCGACACAACCAAATGTACAGTACACAAGGATCATGTGCACAAGGGTTTAGCCAATCAGATTGCAGGATACCATCATCAACGTCAAATTAGTGTGTGACTTCAATTAGTGTGATACAAATCCCCACAGGACACTTTTTTACATACAAAATTCAGTACAAAGAATCGATATCGATGGATTTGGCAAAGAATCAGCACAAAAGTCCAAATTTTGGGTAAATAGACAATATCACATTTATATACATGTAATCTATAGTATAGATCTGTATAATGTATTAAGATTTATTATATTCTTGATCATATTAATAGCATGCAGTTCATGCCATCGTTTGCCTTTGTTATATTTATGCGTACCACATGTCCGTGCGCAGTTTCGAGCTTGGCTTGCTTTGGACGGACATACGTCATGACAGTGTGGTACCGCACCATGGCGAGGACCCAGCGACAGAGTGACGTCGATGCAATCGACGCGCGCTTCATTTCGTCTTCGTTGAATTTTGGGTGTTTAATGAACTTGTCCAATTTCCGCATCACGCTATACATATGAAAAAATATCATCAAGATCAACAGGCGACATCGCCAAAACCAGCAAAGATCATGGCTGGAATGAGAGAGATTCGTATATATATATATATATATATATATATATATATATTTACCTGTCTTGAATGTTGTCTTTGTCAAAGTACTTGAGCCGGTCCAAGAAGCGCATGTCACACAAGACAAACAGCGCGTCATCCCACGTTGGCGTCGCGCCCAAGCCGAGCAACACACACACCTACCCCCGAATTCAACCTCAGTCGTGATGGATAATACCGAATAATACTAATAATATATTAATGGGATTCGGGAGTACCGCTTGCATGACAAGGCGGACAAGGTCTGGGGGTGACGTGAACGACTTCATTTCTGTGATGTGCAATTTGTTGATTTTGTTGAGCGATATGATGGCCGCTTGGATTTCGGGCACGGTTTGGTCAAGTTCGTCCTGGAGACTGCGCTTCTCGTCGTCGATCGCGCGCTTCATGACTTGGTAGGCTCGGTCTTCCTCTGCAAACGCTTCGTGTAGCTTGACTTCGATCACCCGTTGTTTCTCATACCTAAATATATATATATATCAATTAGTCCAATAGGAAATCAACGTTCGAGTATTAATAGTTTGGGTGTTTGATAGTACCGCCGGTGCAGTTCATCGGATTTGGCTCCGACGACTTCGACAGCTTTGGCGAGTTTTCGCTCTCGTGCGTTGAGTTGATCAATTTCGCGGATGAGTTCCTTCATGTGTTTGAGTCCTGTGTGGATCACATACGTCATCACATTTCCATCCCTATATATATATATATATATATATATATATATATATATATAATCTTTCTTTCAACGAATATTTCTAAAAGCACACTTCCATATCTCGCAGATATCTATAATATTTCAACGAATACATTTCAACGTTGAATATATATATGTATATAAAGGCACGTTACCACTGGTACACGCGTGTTGTATCGACTCCATTCGTTTCAGACACTGGAGGTGGAGTGTCTCGTACGTTTTCACAAACATTTTGAACGCCGCGGTGGAATTCAACCGGTTCAAGCGAGGTAGCGTCGGCTGGGCCGCCAGCACACTGGCGTGTATGTGCAACATGACTGGATGCAACAGAGGCGGGACGGACGTGGCGGTGAGAATGGCTTCAAAGCAGTCGACGCTCCACGGAGAAAAGATATGGACGCTGCACGTATGCAATAACGATGTGTTGTCGTCCACGCAGGCGTCCACCACGACGGGGTTGTTGCTATGGAAAAAAATTCATGATTTATTGCCGAATTAGAAAAAACTCATATATATATATATATAGATTGCGTCGTGTGTACCGAATCGAGAGCGCCAGGTGCACGTATTTTTTCAAATTGTCGCGATACAAACTGTAGCATTGCGCTTTGCTCGGGTTCAAGTGCTGCAACGACGGCAGCTTTTTCATTGCGTCTGCGATATCGTCCAACTCGTGGGCCTCATACAGCGACCACGGAATGTCTCCGTCGCAGACGACATGCATGATAACGTGTCGCATATCGGTCGAGAGTTCGTCCACGGCCACGTAGATGATATGGTTGGTCGCGGTCGTACCAACAATCATAAGCGTTTGCTTGAGCACGTGAAACGCGGTCTGGCGGATTTCGACGTATTTGTACGATAGAATTCCACTCACGATGATCATCGTCACACGTTTGCCACAGCCCCGAGGTCCTATTCACAACAGATTGCATTGATTTATATATAGTATTATAATACACGGAAGGGTGGGTGGTACCTTTGAGTAACACGTGGGATTTGATGTCGGAGAGACTCACAAGGACGCGCAAGACGTGGTCAACAGCGGTGGGAAACGGAACCAAGTGCCGCACGGCCGACTCGTTGAACGACGGGTGGTGCCAGTGAAACTTTTCAACTCCTGTAGTTTTTATTATTAGTAAATACTTTATAAAAGGTATAGTAGTACTATGGTTTTGTCAGTCAACACAAGACACTAAAGATAGGACTATGGTTTTGTCAGTCAACACTTCACAAGGCACTAAAGATATAGAAAGTTGTACGTACCCATGGTGAACACGTTTACGGCGGCTTGACTTGTGAGACTAGCGTACCCGCTGATTCCGTCGGTGGTGTGGGTGGCAAACCGATACAACGTGCGTTCGTCGTGGGTGTCGAAATCCAGGGCAAGCCGGATCGGCGACGTCAAGTAATCATATGCCCACTCGTCTTGGTCGCAAAAATTCGACCGACCTCGGAAACACGTGGCAGTCAAGTTGAGCATAACCCCTTGGAGCTTGGATTTGGATTCGAAATTGAATGGCGCCGACTGCAGCAAGCTGCGGTACACGTCGAGGACGTCTCCGAGGGTGAAAATCGCGTGGGGCGACTGAAACGAGTGCCCCCACATGGCTTGCAGCACGAAGAGGGGGAACTGGAGCACTTTCCAGCACGTTTCCAAGTCCAAAGACATGGGCGATCGCTCGACGACAAACGCTGGCAGGGACTTGAACATTTCGAAGATCGAGTCGGGGGGTAACTCGGGTGTCCAGATCTGTCATATTATATATGAATGTGTATAGTTGGAAGAATAAAGGATTGAAAGAGGGACAAACAGATAGCGATGTATGTGTGTACCATGTGGAAATGACGGAGAAGTCGCAACGGTAACTCCATGACCGAGCTCGGATTGAGGGACGCCAGGCCAACAAACACCAGCGACGATAACTCGACGTACTCAAACGACGTGCGGTGGTACACGCCTTTGACGTCTACGATTTGTCGGATTTGCTCTTGGCATTCCTGCGGGATTTCAAAACCCACACAAACACGTATATATATATATAGGCTGGCTTACCGTTTGACACAAGTGCATGTCATCGACGTGATACATCGCAGCATCCTTGCCCGTACACGGCCCGTACAGCCCTTTCATCCGTCGTTCCAGGTCCGAGAGGACTTGTTCCTGTCGAAATATATATGATGGATCCGTGTGTAAACAATGCTTCGAGAGAAAAAGGTACCTGGAACGATATCGCAGATGTGTGTTTGCCCAGTCGAATGGTGCGAATCATGTTGCGATCGCTCAGAGAATGGAGGGCTCGCCGCGTAAACGACGACTTGCCCACCCCACTGGCACCCACGAGCAACACGTTGCGCCTGTCCGTTGCAAAGTGCGACACCAAATACTCCACGCACACGGATGTCTGTTGTACCAGTACATTAGTCGTGATTCAATTATTAATCGAATATGGATCATGGACGAAAAATATATATATATATACCTCGTTGGCCACGAGGATGTTGTGGTGGTTTGCAAGACGGGACCAGTCGGTTTCATGCACTCTGGATGCCCACGACGCCAAGCCAATTCTGGGGCCTTCGTGGTGCCAAAATACATCATAACACGTGCGACCGTGGGTGAAGAGTTTGTGGCACTTCAGTTCTGGAGCAACTTTCAACAACGCCTGCAGATCAAGTAGGATGAGAAGAGTTTCACCACATCATTATCGACTGAAGGACCTCGTGGAATATGGGGCGCGCGGAATACTTGACGACGGCGCCGATGGTCCACGTGCAGGCACATATGTACATGAGGATGGCGTCCGCTTTCAACGTTGGCGAATTGGCACTTAATTTCTCCAGAAACTGGTGCAATGTGCACACCAATTTATTCACCTATAATATCCATCTAGTATCCCTGCTTAATGTGTGCGTATTGGTGGGTTACCTTTGTGGGCGGAGAAAACGCAATGTTTGGATGGCCATTGGACCGACTGACGTCGATTAAGCTCGACAAATGCGATCGCATGAGTTGGGAGCATTGCCTCGCCACGGAAAGGATGCGCTCGTCCAGTGGTGGGTCGGCCTTTTCAAGGCGTAATATCCACGCCTTGATAAATACAGTGTATGGCAACCCATCGGCTGGCAAGTACATAATGCCAAAACGACTGAGGGCGGACGGCGACCAGTTTTCCAGCGAGCTACCCCATCAGATAACGACATATATTTTATTGGATAAATGTATATATATATATATATATGTATCATATATACAACAGGGTAGGAAACTATAACGTACCACGTTTCAAAGAAGATTTTGACATGGCTAGTATCGAGGGTGTCGCCGTTGGGCAAGTGGACCAGGGGCATGTCGTCGGTCATGGCGTACAGCGGCTCGACGCAGGCATGGCTCATGCTTCCATCAAAGACGAGCCACGGGATGTACCCGTGTTGCTTTCTCGACGTTTCCGACGCGCGTTGGCGAATGTATCGTGTTATAATACCATCCACCCATTCGTGTTGTTGATTGCAAAACTACCCGTCGATTGATGAATTGGTTGAATCCTCAACAGAAATACATATTATGATGATGATGTAGTAGTGGGAGTTACCTGGCCATAAAACTCGGCAACCGCCAGCGTCGCCGTCGCGATGCGAAAACACTTGACGCGTTGTTCGCCTTGGGCGTATTTACGAAGCCCACTGAGCAACGCGATGGTCGTCGACTTGCCCGACGCGATCTCGCCTGTACAAAAACGATGAACGCTGGTTGAAGTAGTAGTATATGGGTGGTTTTTTGAGAAAACAGAGTCTTACCCGTGACCACGTTGATGGCATACATGGAGCATAAATCGTGGAGTTCGGCGACTTTGCGAGTGCTGATAGGTGTGGGAACGAGTCGTCGGACGGCCATTTGGTCGTGGATGTGGGACTTGGTCTTGGTCACGTCCAAGTGGATATGTCGAAACGACGGAAAGTGGCGATGGAGGAGCGCTAAGAAGGCCAGTTTTCTCTCGGGTGAGATGCGCGACCCGATCGAGTTCCACACGGCATACGCCACGACTTGTTGTTCATCTCTACATTAATTACCCCATATGATCAACTCATAAAAATAACAAACTTCCCAACCAACTCCCATTGGAGTACATTCTACTCGATATATATAAAAAACAAATTACCCAAACATGTCGAGATACGTTGAGGACAGATCGACAATCTTGCGCACGATGCGCACGCTGAGGAACTCGCCCGGCGACGGGCAGTACGTAGTTCCGAGGAGGAGCAGAAACGAGTGCAGGGTCTTGGTCAGTCGATCCACGTTGCGGAACCCCACGACGGTAAAGTACAATTCAATCAGCACGGCGACGTCTGGCAATGAAAACTTGCACGCGAACGAGACAAACGCAGACGCACATTGCCGCACCATGGCGGTTGTGTGCGCTTGGGACGGCGTCGTGAGTTTGCAAAACACGCCGTAGTTGGGGTGGATCGATGGGTAGTGGGCCTGCAGGGTTATGACGGTGCTATCGAGGCAGATCTTTTCCTTGTGTGTCTTGAGCGCGTGCTGGAGTCGTTTTACTTGGTGCACAAACAACCCAAAGCGATCACATTCGACATGTTCTAACCCGACCTACGGAAGAACGTTGAAACTTGGCGGGAGACAAAAAATGAGAGAGAAAAATCTGGACACGACATCGTTGCTTCGTACCACAGACACATAGGCTTGGCATTGCACGATGCCGCCCAAGATACGTCCCAGCTGATGCATGTTGAACTGAATCGAGCAATCGTACACGACACAGAGCGCGCCGATGCAGTTGACCAACTCGCGGATGGACGCTTGCTTGCTGACGCCAGTTTCCCCGTACAAGAGCGACCCCGAGTGAAGCCGAAACGCCATGCTCATGCTCCACATCATGCGTTCCGTCAGCGGCGTCATGGCAATCACTGACTGCGGCCCCAGGTATTCATACCTGCAATCCACACAGATATCGAAGTAACACGACCAACTCGTCTATTGTTACTATATATAGTAGTAGTGTACCCATAATCGTAGGTTTTGACGCCATGCGATACGATGCACGTTTGGGTATCGCCATTCCAATGGTATTGCAAGTGTTGGCTCCAGTCAAAGCTCGGTTGGTTGCTCTGCGTCAACCTGCGGGGATGGGGGATCGAGTTTATTTCGATCCAGTTCGATTTTCAGACGAGTTATAGTTTACCGTTGAAACACGTTGAGTGCGTTTAATAAAGTCGTGGTCACGGTGGTGAGTCCATGGATATGCTTGGTCGTGCTTTGTTGCCGCAACGCCACAATGCACTCTTTTGTCTAGAAGTATCAAACACAATCATCATATTATACAAGTATCAAATACATAATCATCATATTATAGAAGTATCAAATACACAATCATCATATTATAGAAGTATCAAACACAATCATATCATATTATAGAAGTATAATCATCATATAATTCAGGCGTCGGTGAACACTTCAAATCTCAATGCGAAGGCAACGTACGCGTTTCTGCAGTCGGTCTCGCATGACATGAGACGATCGTTGCTGTGAAATCCACTGGGTGCACTCGCCGGTAAAAAACACGCGAATTGTCAGCACCAGCAGTTGCAATGGCCAGTTATCGAGCAACGTATGAAGCCACTCGGTGGCTTGGGCGTCCTCTGCCGAGCAACGTTAGGCCTGTGATATATATATATATATATATTCGTGACATACGCGATTTGTCGTGCAGGTAGTACTGCAACAGGTCCGAGTACTCTGCCATCAAGTGGCGCAAATTCTCTTTCATGGCGCGTCGCAGCACTTTGGCCAGTTCTTTCATCCATCCTTCGGGCCGCTGGGTGATTTTCACCGAGTTGTTGAGCGAAATCGTTTCATCGTGTTGTCCGTGCACGGCAAACACTTCGATCGAGTATGTGGGGGCGTCGCCAAAACTAGACTCTTCCTAGACCATATCTCCTTGTAAATTCCATATATATATGATAAGTCGGGAGTCGTACGGGGGACCCCATGGTGTGCGGATGCTGTCGTGTGGACGCCGCCGTTGGTTTGGTCGGCGATGGCAGGGTCGTCGTGGGCTTGGATTGAGGCGACGTGGGCTGGGATTTGACGACGTGTTGGATTGTTTCGACAGAGATTCGACACACGTGCTCAAAACACTTGGCTACGACGACACTGAGCGCCCCAGCGTTGTCGTGGCATGGCTGGCTCAGGCTCAAGGTCGTGCCCGCCATGATCGCGAGCAGTTCTCGATCCGACACAAAGTTAAACCGAGGAAACTCACGCCTTTTTTCATGGAGAAACAACACCAGTTGCTTCCATAGTCTTTCAAACAGTGCTTTGGCATCGCCGAGGAACGTGCCTACACACACATACATAGACGTGTGAATATATATATATATATATTATAAGACGTAATACGGTTGGTCACTTCGCGAACACAGTGCTGGATCAACGTGTTGGTGCGGACTCCCTTCATCATGGCCTTCCACTTGCGAGAGAGCACTTGGAATTCGACGTTGGCATGGCGCACGCTTTGTTGGATATCTGGCAACTGAAAGATCCGATCCAACTTGACCCAGTCGTGTTGGGCCGCCACCCACAGCTCCAACGTGTCTTGGATGTAGTTGATTTCATTGCTCCACGTCGCCAACGCCTGGTACAGCAGCGGCTGGGACGTCAATTGCATCAAGCATTGCACTTGCATCAAATCGTCGTCCAATGCTGCGAGCAAGTCGTCCACAACCACTGGATCCAGTTGCAGTCCTAAGAAACACATCGTGAACTAGACGTTATTTCTTTAAATATATATATATATATCTTGTCAAGTTGATTCGAATTTGGAGTGGGGTGGTGCTCAATGAGCAGAGAGAGTCAACACTGTAAATCGACACACAATTGACCGACGAATCAAAAGCCAAAACACGCTCCAGTGGCCAATGAAACTCCTGAAGTAGTGGGTGACTTCAAATAGTGTGCATGGCTTCACAATTAGTATATACAAAATCAGTACAAAAAATCGACCGGGGAATTTGGTGATCAGGGCAAATATACAAATTTTGGCCGAAAGCGCTATGTATATATATATATATACATATATGCATAGTACCTTGGCAGACGAGCTCCGTGGCAGCCCACCGCGCCTTCATGACTTGCAATTTGGCTTCCGTTTCCGAGTCGATGCGCGCATGGTACGTGATGGTTCGGATTTTGTCCGAGTGTGACCACATGTCCAAGTCGTTCAATTGCTTGAGACAGAATGTTTGGAGACTCAAGTCCCCGCCTAGTATCTATAACGCAATGACATCCACGATACTACCAGGGACAACCACTTACTTTGAAAACTTGCTCCCAGTGCATGGGTTTGATATACGGCGCGCCCAACTCGACGGTCAAGTCCAATTGCTTGAGAAAAGCATGGAGTTCCGCCTTGATGGCCACGAATATCTTGTTTTCGAATCGACATTTGATGCTCTCCGACCTGTGCGAACAGTCTTATTTTAGTAGCTCCAAATACGCATTATATGTCGAGGCTGCGATACCGGACGAGAAATTCCGCTGTGGCGGCTTGGTTTTCTAACAAACATAACATTTTACCACGTCATGTACAAGCCGGAGATCGACAATTCGAATCTCTTTTCATAACCCGGTACGAGCATAATTGATCGATGAATGGATCGACAGTAGATGGGGTCCAGTCGCCACGCTTGTTCAATCAAATGCCAAGTAAATCGTACTTGTCCAAGATTGCATGATAAACTTGTGCGCGTGCATCATGGCATGGGACATGCGCCACTGCTGGCACAACGTCCACACGTCATGCACTTCTAGCCAAAGACATCGGGCGCTTTCGAGCAACACGATCGGGGTCACCTTGATTCCCTACGCAAACATAAATAAATATTCACAACATCTCGACAATAATAAGGTGCCTGCCAACCATGATCTTTTGGTAGTCATGGTACATCGCACAAGCATCCGAGATCGCGTCCAGCTCCGACTTGATCTCTAAGCAATCATCGCGTGGTAGGCAAGAGCCAATCCTCATTTTCTGAATGCATTTTCAAGGACGTACCAAGTAAAGGGTTCAACTTGCTTTCAAAATCCGCTTTGCCTGTGATAAACGTCTGTGAGTTCCTCACCGTGACGTTGGTTTCGAGGGCATTTAGAATGCGCTTGCACTGCGCCGTGAACTTTTGCAACGCCTGGGCGACTTGCTGGCCAATCACAGGAAGCATCTTTTTGCTAAACTTGACGTTGGCTTGAAAGCTCAAGTTGTATTTGGCTTGCAGCGCGTGGATCAAGTTGAATTGCCCTACGCAGTCGGACGCGGCCGCTGGGCAATTCGATCGCAACGCTTTGTACGCATCTTCTACCTACGAATCCCATGTGTATTTTGGACGTTCAAGAGAGTTTGACCCATCGTGTTTTCGTTACCATGCGAATCTCCTGCAAAAGCAGCTTTTCGTTCTCTGATAGTGTGCGTATGCATCGCCTTTGCTCACAAAACGCTTCGGTCGTTTGCGGCCGTTCGTCCATGATGGTCACGGCGTCCTTTAACGCTGTCACACATAGTAAAATCCCTTGTGTGGTCAGGTCAGTCAACAGCTGATGGGCCATCGACCGCTGCGTGTTGATCCGCTCAAGCAATTCACTGATAATGTGGCGACAATGAACCTCAAGAAAGCCAATGCTCCAACTTGCCTACATACACGTGGACAGCCATGACGATGTGATACTGTATACAGTAGCATCCTTACTTGTGTTTTATGGCACTGATGTTGCCACGTATCCAGACGCCTGATCTTCGTTTGAATGGTCTTGAGTAGGATGGGCACATTTTCCATGTACTGGTCCACCTTGTCCATCGTCGGCAGCTCGTCACTTGGGTTTTGAATCGCGCTGTAGATGGGCCGAAGCGTTTCAAACGATTTCACGTTCGTCGCGACTTTGGTGAACGCGACCTTGATCGCTGTGCGAATACTCCGCACCTTGGCGTGGAACCCGTCGTCTGACTTGAGCAAATCCACGAGCCGCATCCCAGACACGAACTTTCCGTCGGGCACGGCGTCGGCGACTTCGGGCGGCGTCAAGTACTCGATCAGACGATACTCGCTCGAGTAACTGTTGGAGAGCGCAACAAGCCGAGACAGTGCTTCCATCGAATGATGTAGCATGTCTTGTTCCGACGGTTCCAGCGTCATGCCGTTGGCATCTTTCTCGAGAAATGACACGGCCACCGTGATGGCGCACCCGTCGGCGGCCGAAAACTGCATGTGCAAGTGGTGGATCGACGCCAGGACCTATATTAATCATCGACCGTGGATCAATATACAAGTCTTACGACATCCATCCGTAATATCATCTTGGGTTATTACCATAAAGTACACGCTCTCAGTAAACAAGTACTGCAGCAGCCGAAACAGGGACGGCAGCAGCATTAAATCGCGCTTGGCTTGGGCCACTTGCGTCTGGTTGTCGGCCTTGAATTGCTTCATTGCGGCCATGGGAATGGATTTCCACTCGGGATAAGCTTGACGCATCTTGTACATGTCGGTGTTGTCCAGTTGATCGAGCAACAAGTCGGGCGACCGGTCGTCTCGAATCGACTGCACGAGCGTGTACAGCGCTCCATGTACCGTGGCTTTGGCGTCGTTGAGTTGGCTTTCGATCGCCCCGATGCTGTCACATACAATCCGCATCAAGCCCCCACAAGACATGAGATAGGCGTACCGCACTTCCTGCAAGTGAGTCCATTCCGCGAGGGGAATTGCCTTGGCCGACGCGGCGGCCGTCACGTCCAACGCGCAGATTTTGCGGATGGTCGAGCTCACGTTGTGAATGACGCGAAGCGCTAGCATAAAGTTGGGACGGGCGCAGTGGAGGCGTCGGCCCAACCGCAAGCGGGTTTCGCAGTACAGCCGCATCTGGACGTTCAAGTTCCAATTCGAAAACATGCGGCGGCGGAGGAGCTGTTGGAATAACGGGATGCCCTTGAGCAAGTGGTCAAACATGTGGCTGTGGTACACCCACTCGGACACGGGAATGCACTCGACGTTCTCGTTGGCCTTGTAGTGCACGAGGTTCGTCGCGCCCATGACGTAATGCTCTTCCTTGTTGTTTTGGGTCAACGGTGCAATGTGTGTGAGGTCGTACGGTCGGTAGATAGTTTCCTCGGGCCGGTGCTTCTCTGGTTGAAAATACAGGATGTTGCGCCGGTGCTTTTCGCACAGAAAGTACAGGATCGCGTCTTCGATCGTGTGGACATTGGTGATGTCACAGTCGATGGTCTTCACGGAATTTCTCATCAATCCCTTTGCGCTGTGTCGAAAACGATCCACTAATGCTGCATACAAGTCCTTGTTGGCTGTTCGTCTCGAGTCCATTGTATCCCTACAAATGATCATCAAGAGAGAAAAAGGCATGTCGGGAAATGATGTACTGTTTTTCACGCTGTTGAATGCTTTCACGGAGCTTTAGCGTTCGATGTCCCATCATGCGTGGAGAAGGGGCGATTGGTTTCGAAGGTTGCTGCTGCTGCACTGGGATTACTGGGGCCGCGATCGTCCTGAGAGACTCGGGGACTGCCAAATCGGGTTGCTTGCGTTTATGCAGAGGAACTTTTACCGGTGGATGCCATGACTTGATCTTGGGTTTGTACAATTGTAACGTCGGTTGGGACTTGCGGTACTCGTCGTCCTTTTCGCGGGCCATGATTGTCGCCACGCGCTCGTATTCCTCGGCGTCGATCCACCGCGAGCTGCTTGCGAACTCCGCGGCGGTGGCTGATGCTGCTTCATGCCGAGTGACTTCTTTCCTGGCGTTCATGCGGATGGACTTGGACGAAGACGTGTCGTCATCCATGATTCCTGTGGCGGCCCCGACGACGACGACGTTTCTTCAACTTGACGATGCTTATTCCCCGCGCTAATTTTCGAATATCGAGCCTGCTTCCGGATAAATTCGTTGACACGAAATTCTCGTATACGAGTACAGTACTACTTAAGATACTTCGAAGAACTACAGTCTTAAGGTTAATTAGAGCTTCGAAGTATCCTGTTAAACACGTTAAATTGTTTTTTTGGTAAAACAATGCATTTCACGTATCATTCCGATGCGGTTATTGCAATAAGTCCAAATTGAGGTGGCATGGTTGCAGTCATGTCCGAGGCGGCAGCAAAGGCGAAGAAGCGCGAGTACAACCGCGAGAAGCAGCGCATCTTCCAAGCGAAGCTCGTTCAGCAAGTGATCTCTTTGAAGGATGAGGTCAGTGTCCTTGAGGCCCAGCTAGCACAACTACATCTGGACAAGCCGTCCAATATCGTCGACGACGTCGGGTTGTCCGCCAACGCGTTGTCGTGGAAGGACGTGGCCGCTGGCTTGCAGGATGACACGAATCGTATCGTGGATATTAATCGCCGACTTCGACGGGAACGCCATAGCCAAAAGGAACTGCTTAAGACGCTGCAAGCCTGGGTGAATGTTCAGATTCGACACTCGGTACGACGCCCACCCATGTGTCTATCATCATTGTCACCTCCTCGCGACATCATAGACAACTCTGTGCGCTCCCACACACACATGGAGAAACGTGACGTTGCTGGCGAGTCCGGAGTCCCGCGCCGTGGGGTACGACTGGATCACTGCGCATTTGTTTTACAACACGGAAGCCATCTTCCAGAGACATGCGTTTCCGTCCGTGGCGCCGGAAGAAATCAGCGGCGACTTTTCCATCGACATCACCGACCCTGATGCGATGCAGTACGTGTGGCGGTACCAGAAAGAGATGGACATGCCGTTGGCGTTCGTCGCCACCTGCTTTCGAGACAACGTGTGGCGGTCCATGATGCTCGGTGGGTTTGTGATTCTTCACACCGAGGTATACGAACCTTCCAACTCGTCATGACAAATACGCTCTTAAATGGCGGGTGTCGGTGTACATATTGTGCTTTTCAGTCAAATTTGCCTATTTTTGGGGATTGATGAAATCGCCAATTAATTGAGTAAAGGAGTATGATTGGCTACAAAGATGAAGGTTGCAATCTGATTGGCTAATGATACCTCTTAATCTTAGTTTTATATGAAATATCAAAGGTCCGGCAATTGTTCGGCAGTTTTGGGCCAAACACCGCGGGTATAAAAATACAGTTGATTCAACCAACCGCAGGAGGCAATTATGAGTAGAACACACAATATTTGTCTTCGCACCAAGTACTTTGATATGAAGACTTTATTTCAATACTCGAATAATCATATAGTGGATTTGAGAGTCGCGTTTTATATTTCACGGTGCAAATATCAACGACAAAGTCGACGGTAGGTGCTGGACAACATGCCTGATCAAATGATTTACCGCCACACGATCACCAACCCCGACGAAACCGTCAACTACCTCGGCCGCGAATACAATGACGGGCCGGACCGGGTGGTGTTTGTCGGGCAAAACATCCACGACGACGCAATTGTGCCGTGCGGGTCGCGCCAGCGGAATCGAATGGCATGGTATACTTGAATCCACCTTCTGCACGAAATATGTACCTATGCTGTAGTAGCATCTAGAATTGCATTCCTTGTTTCTACCGTGTCGCAGGAGTTTCGGTCGATGGCTTTGCCTTTGTGTGTCCATCTAAGCCAACTCATATCCATATCATTGCCATCCTATACGACATATTCGTTGTTGATGCCATCATTCGACTAGGGTCGTGCTGGATCGACTGACACCGTGTCACACACGTGTGCGAATTTTGCATTTGAACTCGCACTTTTTCACCAAACACGGGTACGTGAGTCTCGAAGACGAAGCGCGGTACTGGGGCGGCGACGTCGGCACTGGCGACGAAGCCTCGAAACTCGTCAAGTTCCAGAAACATGTGACGGTGATGGGGGACGATGTCGCACGATTGTGTCGAAACAAGTTTGAAAACGCATGTGCCAGCCAACTCCAGCAAATAGACGACTCCCCCCGTGCCCCCACTGTCTTGGACGACTCAATGTGCCAGCCCTGCATACCCCACCTGGTTATGTGATACGTATACCATACCAGTACTGGGATCCGAGTCAATGTAACGTTATTAATAGTACTACTACTTCTGTGTGAATCATAATATTAATAGTAGTTTTGCAGAAATTGGTAACTTTGTAACGTTATTAGTAGTAAGACTACATATTACTATTTATAGTATTATGGTATTAATAGTACTTCGTAGTCCTTACAAGTCTTACAGTAGTATGGTATCAATAGTAAGTTATATATTACTCAGTAGTTTTGCAGAAATTGGTAACTTTGTAACGTTATTAGTAGTAAGACTACATATTACTATTTATAGTATTATGGTATTAATAGTACTTCGTAGTCCTTACAAGTCTTACAGTAGTATGGTATCAATAGTAAGTTATATATTACTCCTATATTATTTATATTATTAGTGGTACTATTAATACGAAGCAGTTATTAATAACAAAGTCACCAACGCTTGTATTCGACAAATTATAACTCAGTACTGTACGTCCTTTCCAGTCAAGTCGAAGTTGTTGTAATTAATTCAAGCCTTGTTATAATAGACGTTTGAGGTAGAATAATAACCAATCTATATTTATCGTGTGCAGGGAAGGGACACAGCAGAAGTTTCGTATGGTTTCAGAACGACCAACACTCCCGGTTCATTGTTCCAGCAACGAAAACGCAGTGCCGAACCCACGAACGATGCCATCGACGCAGACAGCACCACCACCAACCACGACGTCTCTCCCAGCTGAAGTCGAGCATGGCAACGTGGAGTATAAGCTCCAGTTGCTCAACCCCACCGCAGGTACGCCAGGTCCCGCGAGCAATAGCAGTCGTGTAAGCCACGGATCTCGTAGTGCGCTTTCAACATCTCGTGACCCAACTCAATTGGCGGCTGAACGAAGGCCACGGGTATGCGTTTTATGAGCTGGGGGTGTCGGACGATGGGTTGGTCATTGGCATGCCCCCAGAAGACTTGGAAACGAGCTTGAACACGTTGTTCCGCATGTGTCAAGTGTTGTCGGCACAGATGCACGTGCACACGCTACGGGAAGGCATGCAGCACACGTACAAAGCTGCTCGTGTGGCCGTGAGTTGCATCGCAGAAACCCACGCGAAGAAGCAAGTGCGAGGTACCCGTGATGTCACACATGTATCAGCATGGTCAAATTGGTCGTAGTGTCGGTGATCGGGGACGTTGACAGCGGCAAGTCGACGCTTATCGGGGTGCTGACCCGCGGCTGCTTGGACGATGGAAACGGGCTCGCTCGCATGCAAGTGTTTCGGTACGTTGGTCACATGGCGATCTTATCTGAACTCGAATCGATCGATTGTCATCGTAGGCACCTCCACGAAATTGAAAACGGGCGGACGTCTAGCATCAGCGAACAGATCTTGGGTACATTTATCTACCCTATCTATACGTATGGGCGCAGTTCCGTGACACTTTTTGGGACCCTTCGATGGAGGGGTTCCTTTACTCCAAAATGCTATTATCATAGTGTTTCTTAAAGAGGAGAATTAATGCAGTTCGTAGAACTTAAAATCATGTCGAAATTCGTATTAGTATTGATGGAAAATGAATTAAAAGAGTGGAAATATCGATACGCCGAAAACAGTTCCGAGCCACTTGATTTTATCCAGTTATCTGTCAAAAATTGCATCTGATTGGCTGAAAATTTCAGAGTGATCGTATTCTACCAATCATGCATCGTGGCACAGAACCAAGTGCCACGGAACTGTGCCCATACGTATAAATCCAACCACGAGTCATCTTGTTGCTTTGGGTAGGGGTCACAAAAGAGGGCAAAATCTGCAAATTCAACACCCTCGAATCGCGCAATGCGTCCAGTATCGACGCCCAAAGCACGAAGTTGATCATGTTTAGCGACTTGGCGGGGCACCAGCGCTACCTCAAGATCACGGCGTCCGGACTGACTAGCCAGTTCCCAGACTACGCCATGCTGGTCGTGGATGCCACCGCGGGAGTGCAGAGCATGACCCGGGAGCATCTGCGCATTGTGTTGGGCTTGGGGGTAATTTTGTACAAAAGGACAAACATTTGTCCTCAAATATATTGTCATTTTACCCAAAATTTGGACTTTTGTGCTGATTTGCCAAAAGTCTATCGATATCGATTCTTTGTACTGGGTTTTGTATGTAAAAAGTTGTCGTCCTGTGGTGATTGTAATCACACTAATCTAGGTCTCACACTAATTCGATGTTCATGATGGTTTCCGGCAATCTGATTTGCTAAATCCTTATGTACTTTATTTGGCTGTGTCGATGTATTCTGCATGTCGCTCCAGTATAGAATAAACTCAATAATATGAGTGTCTAGATTGGAGTTTTTGTCGTTGTCACCAAGGTCGACGTGGCCGAAGCGCCCAGAATATCCCAGACCATCGATGAAATCACAGCCCTGCTCTCGGTATAAATATATCACGAAGTGGACGATATTGCTTTGATTTCGAATAATATATTTGGCAATTAATTCTATGATTAATATATATGGTTCTAGTTGCTCCACTCGACACCCCCCAGTGTAATTGCCACTTCAGATGACCTTGCTGCGTTTCAGTTGCTCCAACATCCCACCATGATTCCCATCTTTCAAGTGTCCAATGTCACCGGTGCCAGGTACATGAATTATACTAGTTTCATCATGTTTTGGATGTATTCTAAATCAAGTGTTTGCATGTAGCATGACGTTGCTGCAGCAATTTCTGGCATCTGTCCATCCCACCAGGGTACGATTGTTATATTCGTTGTTGTGGTATAAATTCCATTTGGTTTTTGTATGGATACGATGTACAGGCATGGACATCGGTTCGGCACTGCAGCTCCGAATTCCACATCAACGGCCACTTTCAATCGGACGAAGTGGGCACGATCGTCACGGGGCTGGTGCAGCGGTACGGAAAACAGCACCCACTTTGTCGTATTCTGATTGTGGTGTGTATTGTATAGTATACTGTTTTCTCCAGCGGTTGATTGAGTGAACCGTTCTAGAATCGCTAGACATATATAAAAAACTAACTGGAAGAGGTCCTTGTTTGTATTTTCGATATTATTCCACTTGGTTTTACCGAAAATCATACCTTAACACGTTTATTCTTTGTAGAATAATAATCATACTGCTTTTATCAATTTTTGTTGGCGATTTCAACAATCCCCCCCAAACAATGGCCAATTTAAGTGAAATGCACAATACACGTAGGGGGACGGTGCACGTGGGCGAATCGTTGTTGCTTGGTCCGACGATCTCTGGGGCGTTCTACGGTGTGCATGTAAAAAGCATCCAAGTGCAGCGCACACCAGCCAAATGTGTGTTTGCTGGCCAGACGGCCGCGCTTCTAGTCACGTCCCTGGACCACGCCGATGTAATTCTTTGAAACCAGTGAGACCCATCCTTATCGTTAATCCTTGATGTAGATTGACATGGCGTCGATGCGGCGAGGCATGATGTTGGTGCACCCGAACCTTAGTGTACGTATTATGTATGAGTTGTGGGCGTGGTTGTTGAAATATTATTTTTTTTCCTTGTGGTATTTCTTTTTTATTAAATTTTCGTACGGCCATTCTGGCTGCGACAAATAATATGTCAGAAAACCCCGATTTTCGCAACTGTTTAGCAACATACATCATGACACGTTTTCAAACCGCGGCTACCAAATCTGACATTTATAAATGGACACAATACGTCGAACTTTTACTGTTTTATGCAGAAAAGAGTTTTTAATGAACTGTCCAGATATTTGACCTATTCTAGTATATGATAATACTCCAGGTATATCTTTCATAGCACGTTTGAATCGTGGTCACACCAAAATATTCTAAATCTATTTTCTCAGCTCCCGTTTGATAGGGGGACTTCTCTGTCAGAATATTATATTGTAACATCCGCTCCACTTTAGACTTCTCAAGTAGAATCGAATATGAATTAGGCAAATTTATTTGAGAATATCCTAACCAATCAAATTATCGATTGCGATATTTGAGCCAATCATCAATCACTATACTTTGGCCCAACCAAAACGTACATCATTAAATTTGTATACACTACATGTATTACATGTGTATAAAAATCTATTCTCGAATCAATTGTCCAGTCCAAATTTCAGCGAAAAGGACTATATATTATTTTTTTCACCTGTGGCATCCCGACTCGGCCATTTTTTCTATTTTCAATCCAATCTCGTTTAGCATGATTGATAATATGGTTGTCGTACGTGCTGTAGCCGATTGCCACGAAACAATTTGACGCGCAAGTGCACCTGTTGAATGCGTCGATGCTGCTCAAGGACAACGTGCAGGGCGTGATCCACGCAGGTCCGATCCAGCAACTCGCCAAGGTGGTGGCCGTGCTCAAAAGCGACGACAACGGCCAAGTGCAGCTCCGGTTTGAGTTTGTCCATTCGCCAGAGTACATGCGCCCGGACTGGCCGCTCGTGTTTCGGGAAGCCAACACCCATGCCGTGGGCAAGGTGCTGCATGCCGTACACAAGCAAGGGACGGTGCCCCCCGACGTGGTTGTCGTCGCTGGGTTAGCATAAACAATCTACCTACGATTCGTCCATTTCTTCTTCAATTCGTGGAAATGTATGTACGAGTCGATGATATGGAAGGAAGGGCGTTGAGGTGGGGCAATAAGGTGGTGCTCACTAGACCAATTGCATATTTTTTGGCCATAAATCGCCAAAACGCGAGATGGCGATGCAGCTAACTTCTAGTTGCGCAAACGTGAATATAAATCCACGTATAACGTGACTGGGGGACGCTGTATTATTGTGTAGTATTTGGTACGAATTTCCAACCAAAATCGCCGCCGACTCGAATCACGAATCGACGCGATTGGCTAATCCAATTTTGAGTGGATTTGATTGGCTCTTACAGAAAGGACAAAAATATATTCAACCAATCAGAACTCCAGCGTGTTTCAATATTGATTAGACAAACTACGCGAATGTTGGGAGTTTATAGCATTTCACAATATATAAATAATACTATTAATACTACTATTAATAATTGTTCAACTGATGCGAGCTAACAGTACGTTCGTGCTGCAAGAACACCATCACAAGTTGCAAGTTGGCATCGGTGGTCTCAAGACTGGCACGATGGTACCGGTAGTAAACTCATTGACAAACACGTGCACCCCCTCGACGACGGTTGTGGGCGAGCGCTTCACGAGGATTTCCCAACTTGAAGAGGCCGTCCGTGCGCGCTAAGAATAGCTATATTTCTTGCTACGACGAGGACGAAACCGAAGGTGGGAGGATAATGGATGGTCGTGTCTCCTATAAATACATTTCTTGGTTCATGACGTCCGAGGCGGTGGCGTACGCCCAAGGCGGCAGCCACGCGAGTGGTGTGACGGCATCGACCAGCACCGCGTCCTCCTCCTCGGACATTGCTGCCGTGAGTCCGTCCTCGAAAAAGAAGAAGAAGAAGCGCGCCGCGAAACTGCGACCTCAGACCGTCGAAGAGGTGTTCTCGACGTTGTCCACGCTCAAAGCCAACGGCATCAACCCCCCGCCCGAGAAGATCGTGCTCACCCCGCGGTCCGCGGACGCATGTCTTCGGACTGGTGTGAACCCCGAGACGCTGAAGATCCGGGACCTGGAGTCGTTTGGGGACAACGGCGTGTCGCCCGCGGTGCAGAAGATGCGACACGAGGCGTACAGCATGCGTCGGCACGACCAAATGAAGCTGGTGCGGGCTGAGAAGAAGAAGATTCTGGCCGAGGAGGACTTGGCCACCGAAGAGGTCCACGGCTTTCGCAGCTACCGAGGACCCAACCATCGGTCGCCGTCGACGTCGCCCAAGAAAGACAGTCCGGACAAGGCGGCGTTAAGCATGATTGAAGTGGAGCAACGGCGGCTGGAAAAGGTGCAGTTCCGCCAGCAACGCGAGATCGAACAAATGCTCGAGTTTGAAATGAAACGGAACCGGATGGCCGAAGAGGCCTCGGCCAAGCTGGTGCGAGAAAAGGAGCTGCACGATGCGATGGAAGCGGAGAAGGTGCAGCGGCTCAAGGAGCTGGCCGAGTTGAAGCGCATGAAGGAGATCCAAAAGAAGGCGCAGGAGGACGCGGCCGAAGAACGGAGGCGGCAAGTCGCGGCGCAAATGTTTCAACGGGACAAGGAACTGTCCGACCAAAAGGCTCGCCAAGACCGGTTGCGCAAGATCGAAATGAAAATGCGCGAGGAAGAACGCAAGAAGAAGGCCGAGGAGCATCGGGTCAAGACCGAGATGATCATGGCGCGGCAGCAGGCGGAGATCCAAGCGCGGCTGCAGGAGCTGACGGTCGCCGAGGAGACCCGCAACCGCATGATGGAGGAGCAGCGCGAACAGCGCACGTTGGAGATGGAGGAGCGCCGGGAGGTGGTGACCAAGCGCATCAACAAGAACCTCAAGCAGGCGCGGCGGGTTGAAATCGAACGCAAGCGGGAGATTCGACACAAGCAGCGCCAGTCCGAGCTGTTGCGGGCGCAAATGAAGGAAGAGCAGGACCGACAGCGCGAGTTGGCGCACCAGGAGATGGAGCTCATGGAGCGGAAGCGACAAATGGTGCTGGAAGAAGCCCGCCGCGAAGACGAGCGCAAGAAGCACATGCTGTTGGAAAAACAGCGCGAAGTGGACGAGAACGTGCAGAGCGTCCAAGAAGCCCATAGCCGTGAGCTGTATTTGCGACGGGAGCAGCGGTCGATCCATAAACAACTCAAGCTGAGCAACGTGGACCGCATGAAGCGCATTCAAGAGTACAAACGGCTGGAAACACTACGTAAGATCCGGGAGGCGGAGGAGCGGACCGAGTCGATGCTACAGCAAAAGGTGGACCTGGTGCGGCAGCGTAAACAAGCCAGCGTACGGTCCAAGATCCAACGAGACGCGATTGTCGAGACGATGGAATTGGTCAAAATCACCAAGAAGTGGAAAAAAGCCAGCAAACGGATCGACCAAGTGCTGGGCTGTTCCAAACCGAAAAAGAAGAAACGCCCTGTGAGCAGCGACGGGGGTAGCATGGCCAGAGGGGGCGTGGGGGACGTCCTACCCACCCTGCAACATCATCGGGCACAGACCCCCCAAGAGTCGTCATTCCGACCGGCGAGCCCCCCCCCGACAAAGTCGGCGTTCAAACACGTCAAGGACGAGGGGGGCAAAGTGACCGTGGAGCCGTCCCCGTTCCGGTCGCCATATGACGAAGTTCCGAGCTTGATCCAGAAAAAGTCGAGTATCAAACCCTCCAAGCACACGACGTCCGCCGTGTTTTAATTTAACATTATAGTACTACTACACATGGCACAACGTGATCGCAGTGCTAACCCCATGCAATCTGTGCGTTCCTACGTTGGTCTATGAGATACAGTACAGTACCTCCTCATACTGTATCGGACATGACGAGTTGGTTTGTGTTTGTTGCCTTGCACAATAAGAAATGGGGGGAAACAAGAGTATTGTTGTGACCCACAAATTGGAGTGGCGCGGTGGCTAAGCGGGATTCGATTCAACTGAGAGGAGTTTCAGTTTCTCGCTAACGTTATCACGTTTGGCCATTAAGGTACGGATATGTTATCCAGTTTTTGAAACGGCCAAACAGTTATGATGATCATCCGGAATCATGCACCAACCTGGCTGCGTATCCGGATGTGAGAGGAGGTGCGATGTGGCGCAGTCAATCTTTCCTGGTCGAGTTGTATTCTACCAGACGATGATGGTTCGGCGACGGTGTATCGTACTGCATCTGGCTGCGCTCGTCCTGATGTACATGGCCACTGCGGATGCAACGGACTCTGCGTTGGCTCTGCATGCCATGGAAGACGAAGACCAGGATGGAGTCATGAACCCGAAGGAGCTCACCGTGTTGCGTGAAAAGCTGCATCATGCGTTCGACACGGACGCGAGCGGTCGCATCGAAAAGGACGAAATGCGCTCCGTACGTCCCTCCCTTTCGATACAAGTCGTGGCGTTATATGTACGAACGACATTGATCTCTAGGTGCTGCAAGTGGACCACGTGTCGAAAGAATTCAACTCGATGGACAAGGACGACGACTCATACGTGTCCACGGACGAACTGGACTCGAGATACGACCAGCTCGGGGCGGAAATGACGGTGGACGAAGTGGCAGACTGGGTGTCGTACTCGGTGCATCTCCCTCAATACGCGCAAATGTTTCGAGACCATTTCGTGTCAGGGTACACGTTTCCACTGCTCATGGAGAAAAACGGGGAGCGACTGGCCGAGCTTGGGATTGCCAGTTCTTTGCATCGCCAGCAGTTGGCGTTGATGATGAAGCGCAAGATTGCTCAAGTCGGCAAGGGTACATACTGTATCCTACCATCGATCCATACATCCATCCATCGATCCATCTATTGAAGTCGTGCGGATACTGACAAAAATACCTAGCGCCAGTGGAAGTCAAAGATAAGTCGTGCACGGTGCTGCCCGCGAAAGCGTCTCGTCCCCCCAAAGTCAAATTGCAGTGGACTCCGCCGCCCGATCAACTGACCGCGTCGTCGCAGTATCAATTGCAGGTCCGGATGACATTTGGGAATGTGACATTTAGGACATGCGATGACGTGATCTCGGTAGGTACAACGTCACAACGACTGGCACACGTTATCGTTTGGCAAAGAAACGAGTCACAGCCACGTGTTGACACCGTCCGACGTGGACGACGACGCCACGTCCCAACACTTCCGCGTGACCACATGGAACACGTTTGGGCGCAGCGGCCGCGTCCATGTCGAGTGCCGTGATGTGGCAATCTCTCCTGCATCGTCCGCCATCGCCATCGCCGCCCCTGTATCGCAGGACCATGCCAACAAGTCGGAGCCGTCGTCGTCGTCGTCGCTGTTGGCATTTTACGCGACGTACTTGTTTTGGCTCGACGAAGTGCTCGTGTTGACGGTGATCGTACTCGCTCCGTTGCGCATGTTCATATATGGGGACGCCAACTTCTTCCTGCGCTTGTGTCGCCGGCTGCCGCCCAACGCGCCGACTCGCGTCGAAGTGACGCTCGACACGTCCACGCCATCGCCATCGCCATCCGCCGCCGCTACCGCGCGGCTCCGTGTCAAATGGGACCGGCCTCTGGACAACCATGTCGACATTGTGTGCTACTGCGTGCGCTACGTAGATGAGGCGGGGCTAACCCACTACCTGAAGCTCACCGAGCGGCCGCTGCCGACCTTGTGCTATATTCCTGGGCTCAAGTTTGGGCTCACGTACAAGTTTACGGTCGAAGCGACCAACTCGTTTGGCCTCGTGAGCAAGTCGGCGCAGTCCACGTACATGGCCACCAATCCCGTACAGGTGCCTGCGGTCGCGCCGTCCGCCCCCCTCGTACCCCGCGATCAGTGCTACATCTGCCTCGACCCGACCGAAACCCGAAGCGGCGGGTGGAACGTCGGGCTGCACTACTGCTCGGTGTGCGACCGCCAGTTTTGCAACAATCACAAAACGTACACGAGCCACAACTTTATCATGCACTGTCCCGCCATCAACGGCAAGTGCGTGTGCAGCCGGTGCCTTCGACCTGCGGCCCGCCCGCGTCTCAATGGAACGGCCAGCCTTTGACCACCCCATTTTGTGATTCTAACCACAGACAGCTATGTACGACCTACTAGTACTGTATGTAGTGCACTTGATCGTACAGTATGCTGTCGATTCGCACAGCATAGTACAGTATGATCTGCGCCAAGGGTAGAAAAAATCGTGTGTATATATTGTTAACGTTAACGAACACGGGAGCAAACCAACATACTATTGGTTGGGGTTCGAGTTGTTTCACTTTTGCTTGACATGTCTTGTGCTGGCAATGCTGCATAGGCACGTTTCGACTGACTGCCCATGTGGTTGCATGGTGTGTGTGTGTGTGTGGCTGTGATGAGTTTACAAGGGACAAGCCACGCCACATCGCATGACATGTGTCCTCCCGCGGTGCGCACCCACCCCACCGATGCTTCGTCAACGAGAATAGACGCGCCTTGATTGGGTATTTTATCCAATGCAATTGGGTATCCGGACATGCGAGCCTGTTATCCGGATTTCGCCTAGATGATTCGGTTTTCAGCCAATTGGAGGCGACGATTTCGTAACGGTTGTATATCCAACCCGTGAGGACGTCCACGGAGAGATTCTCACTTCCAAAGTAACCAAGCAGCACTCGCTCGTCGTGATGTACCGTCTGGTGTCACCTCTGCAGCGCCGTGTCGTAGCATCCGCGGTCTTGCTGGCTGCTGCCGGCACCTACTCCACCACGAGCAACAAGAGCCCGGTGTTCCACCCCGACAGCCACAACAAGGACAAGAACGGCGTGTTCAAGTATGTCAAGCCGATCGAATGCGACGACGGCCACGTGATCGTGCCATGGGAAGTGCCCGACCGAGCGCTCCAGCTGCAAAAACTCAAATCCAAGGACGTCTTCGACGTGGTGGTCATTGGCGGCGGGGCCACGGGTGCTGGCTGCGCGCTGGACGCGGCCACCCGCGGCATGAAAGTCGCAATGGTCGAACGCAGCGACTTCGGTGCCGGCACGTCCGGCCGCTCAACCAAATTGATCCATGGCGGCATTCGATACCTGGAAACTGCCTTCATGAAGCTCGACATTGCCGCGTATAAGCTGGTACGACTCGCAATGTTGCCTCAATCAATCCTTAACGATTCACCCCCCTTGATAGGTTTTGGAAGCCCTTGAAGAACGCAAGCACATGTTGGCGGCGGCACCGTACATGAATCGAGCGCTCCCTATCATGATTCCCATCTACACGTGGTGGGAAATTCCCTACATGTGGGTCGGTGCCAAGGTACTAACTCACTCCATCTCTCTCTCCCCTCAAGTCCTAGCTGACGGTATGTGTCGGCTACTAGATGTACGATCTGGTGGCCGGCCACGACCGGTCGGTACCCGGCAGCTACTTTATCGACTCGGACGAAGCCTTGTATCAGTACCCGAACTTGAAGAAGGATGGCCTCAAAGGCGCGATTGTCTACTACGACGGGCAAATGAATGATACCCGCATGAATCTGTCGCTGGTACTCACGGCCGTCCAGAGCGGCGCCACCGTCAGCAACTACGTCCAAGTATTGTCCATCTTGAAAGACGAACATGGACGTGCGAGCGGCGTGCATGTTAAGGACGCCAACACGGGCGATGAGTGGGACATTCATGCCAAAGCAGTGATCAACGCTACGGGGCCGTTCACAGGTAGTACCATCCTACCTCTGTCCATATTCTCAAACAATCTCATATTTTCATGCCATTGGCTGATTACGTGCTCCATGTATGTATACCCACGCTAGTTGGTCCATGTATTGGTTCACCAGTTTGTGAAAAAATCGATTCAATGTGACTTCTTCTAAGTCGTATATGAAATATGGCATGGTGTGTGTATTCATCCTCCTCTCATCCTAACAAATATCTCGGTGCTTTCGTAGACGGCATCCGTGAGATGGACGACCCAGCCGCCGACAAGATCTGCGTGCCTGCCGCGGGGGTGCACGTCGTACTTCCCGACCACTTTAGCCCAAACCGGATGGGGCTGATCGTCCCCAAGACAACCGACGGTCGTGTATTGTTTTACCTGCCGTGGGAAAACGGCACGTTGGCCGGCACGACCGACTCGGAGTCGAACATTACGATGCTGCCATCGCCGACAAAGGCCGAGATCCAATTCATCCTGAACGAGTCCAATCGGTACCTGAACGCGACGGTCACGGAGGCCGACATCCGGTCGTCGTGGAGCGGCATTCGGCCGCTAGTCAAGGACCCGCGGCACTCGAACACGGCGCAGATTAGCCGCGAGCACGTGCTGGACGTGTCTGCGTCCAACATGGTGACCATCGCCGGCGGCAAGTGGACAACATATCGCCGCATGGCCCAGGACACAATCGACAAGGTCCAGCAGTTACGCCCGGATCTGTCGCAGGCTGCGTGCCGGACGCGCATGATGCAGCTGGTCGGCGCCGACCGCATCGGCGAAGTGTGCAACCAAAAGTTTGACCGGATTACAATCACCCTCCGTGAAAAGTACCACATGGACAAGGACATTGCCGAGCACTTGACGAAAAACTACGGCACGCGCGCGCTCCAGCTGGGCGAGCTCGAGTCGACGGGGTTTCTGCACCGCAAGGCGGGCGACCACCCCAAGCGCCTGCACCCCAAGTACCCGTACGTCGAGTCGGAAGTGATCTTTGCCGTCCAGCAGGAGTACGCGGTTCGCGCTGTGGACGTGCTCGCGCGCCGCACCCGCCTCGCGTTTGTGGATGCCGTCGCGTCCGATCAAGTGATGGACAAAGTGATTGGCATGATGGCGCAGCTGCTCCAGTGGGACAAGAAGCGGTGCGCTGCCGAGAAACAAGAGGCCACGGAGTTCTTGGCCACCATGCACATCAAGTAGAATCGCGAGTTGACATGTGAAATTAATATGATGGTTTGGACCAAGAGTTGTTGTGCGAGGGTGGGCCACAGTACCTCCCTTACACTCTGCAGAGCAAGAGGAGGACAAAGCAAGACGAGGACAGGCTTGTGATGATGATAGTGGCAGATTAGTACTACATTGAAGTGCTTTCAAACGTAGTACCAATATGGAAAGGCTTTGTATGGACACTCGACATACAAACACAAAGGCGTATGTGTGTACTAATGTTAACGACCAGGACTCGCACCTTGCATCAACTGTGAAAGAGTCCGTGACGAATATCGTACTCAAGTCAACCTAGCCAACGACATGTGGAAAATCTCTCTCTACTAGGGAGGTTTTGCAAATCGTTCCGAGTACTCAGAACTGCCACTCAGTCGTTGATTTGTTCTTGAGAACCATCGCCCACGATAAACTCAGTTGTATCTCGTTAGTGACATGCAAATACGAGGCTCTTGGACTCGACGCCATTGTCGTCGATGGTCACGTCCACCGTGAGGGGGTAGCCTGGCGCGACCTTGTACATCTCCAGCAGCACGGGAACGTCAGAAGCAACATCATCGCACTCGAATCACGCACTCGCTGTCTTGCCATGTGCCATCGGCGCCAAATACGGAGAAAACCGTGATCCACCCACTGACTTTAGCTTACCCTCCGGGGACGTAATGGCAAATGCGCTGCTAAAAAGCCACGTCCGGCTAGTTGTGGGCAGCTGCCACAAACTGGTCCAGCATTGGCGCCATGCCGACGTCAATTGATCGTGGCTAACGTTAACCAGTTTGTCGATTCGATTTCGAATCGCTTCACTCTCGGCAACTGAGTTGAACGCGAAGTACGTTTTCATGGAGGCAGTATGACCACACTCCCGATAATGCGGTAGTGGTCCGTGGTCATATGATAAAAAGGCGGAAGGACCTACTCACTGACCGCTGGATCCACCAGGTGATTGGGCATTTTCCTAATCAAGATGGAAGCGAGTTCGCCGTAACGTTAGTTGGCGGCGCGCAATGAGCCCCCTTGGTGTCGCCTAGGTGCTTGACCAAACAAGCTGTGACTGCCTGAGCGTGCTTGATAAACAATTAGAACTGCGTGGTTATGGCGAGCCAGACATCGTCGGGCCGCAGGATGAGGTTGTGGTGTCGTTACGGCCCCCAACGTGAAACCGTTCGTGATGGCACGACAGCATCGCCGTGGAGATTAGGCGACGACTGCAGCACCTCGGTACAGCTTTTCTTCGCCATATTCTTTGCGCGGGCTAACCACATGGTCGCCCTCGTTTCGCTGGTGGCGCCCAATTGAATACACATGCATGGGCGACAGTTCAAACGTGATCATGGTGGCTATAAACGTGATTTTTGCAAAATGATGTTCATGGAAAGTTCAACCCCACATGTCGTTCCGGAGTATTATTTGGCCACGAAATTCAACTTGTTAGACTGCACATTTGTACATGAATTATGTCCTTGGTAACCCATACAAATTCCAAGGTGACGTTGCATCAAATTTTCGAATTAGCAGTTAGCTTTTCCGTAAATCCTTGTTGAACTCTTCGTTTCGGAATGAGTATTCAGGGTAACTTAGGCACTTTCATGGTGTCCACTTGGGTTTACACTGTTAACGATGGCACACCAGGACAAAGATGCTTGGCGCGACAGACTCCGGCGATACTTGGACGACCCAGCCGAGCACGCCGATGTGATTACCTACGACGACGAGTTCGTCGTAGTTCAGGACAAGTACCCTAAGGTAGGTGGTGCTTGAATACAGTAATGCTGGACAACAAGCGTTGATGTAGGCTACTGTGCACTTCCTCGTCATTCCTCGCCAAGTGCTGTCGATGGGAGTGGGTGACCTCGATCGAGAGCACCTGCCGCTTCTGCGCCGCATGGCGGACCTCGTGGCGCCATTAACCGCTTCGTTTCCGGACCTACAAGTGGGCTTCCACGCGGTTCCGTCGATGCGGCAATTGCACTTGCACGTTGTCTCGACCGACTTCTCGTCTCCGTCGCTCAAGCATAAAAAGCACTGGCATTCGTTCACCACCACTTTCTTTAAACCCCTAGCCGATGTGTTATCAACCATCGACTCGACAGGCCAGATGGCCGTGCGTTGCGTACGAGAACGCGAATTGCTCGAGGCAACGATGATCGTGTGCAATCAGTGTGCTACCACGTTCAAGACCTTGCCGCAGCTCAAACGTCATCTCATATCCGTGCATCCTGCGACGGTGTCCCTGGACGCTGTCAAGCAGCTTTTGTCGACGATTTTCTCAAAGAAACGAACCGCCACCAATGCTCCAGTCGAGGTCCCATCACCCAAGCGCCAAGCTCACGCCTCTCCGACTGCCACGTCAGTCACACAATGAACCATGTTAAAACCTCATCTGATTGGCATACCGTTAACATGTAATAAGGCTACCGAGAATAAGTAGTACTTCATACCCAGTAGAGTAGGGCGGGCAATGTGGTGCGGTTCTTTTGAAGTGTTCCAACGCGGTGCGACTCTACATTGTACTGCCATGCCATGGAGCCATACTTCGCTATTTCCTGTCCTTCATCTACCACATCCTCTGCCAAATTGGATAGCACTCCAACATGTCCTTGCAACAACTCTATCCGGCGCAGTCGCCCCGAATCGCGGTCGTAAAGTGTCATTTTCGTCCCAACAAATCACCTTCGGTTTGGTAATTTTATGCCAACGAATCGTCCGAATTTAAATTCATTCAATCCTTTACAAATGGGAAGTCATGATTGCGTTGATACAATATAATTATCAAAATGAATTCAATTTTTCAACCCTTTTTGTTTGTTTTCTTAGAATGTATGTTTCACCTTGGGTTTAACCGCCATTGTGTCGCCACCTGCCCCGAACACTCTGTAGCACACTGACACAACGATGGTGTGTCCGTGCAGCCGACAGGCTGGAAGCAACATGCAGCAGTCCCGGCCGCACTTGTCGTGCTCCGAGTACGCCATGGTGGTGGCCAGTCGCCTGTACTTCTCGGCGTTCTATCGAACGGTCTACTTGATCATGATCGCGTCGAGCGTGGCTTGCGTGGCATGGACTGTTGCAAACCACTGGCGCACGCCGACGTCCGAGGTGTTCATTTCGCTGGAAATCCTGCTGTGTTGCATGCTCGTAGTCGAAGTGGTTATACGCATGCTTGCATTGAAGCGCAAGTTCTGGACGCGATGGACCAACCTGTTCGACGTGGCCGCGTCGGTGCTCAGCATCGTGTCCGTGGCGCTGTATTTCCATCAGGAAGGGGTCATGGAGGAGCTGGAGGAGGTCGCGGCGGACTTCATGATGATGTTTCGCAATGCCAACCAGTACATGCGCCTCGCTGTGTTCCTCAAGTACGTGTCCGTCCGCGATGATGTCGATGGCTAAACTTTGCTCAGGAATCGCAAGATGCTGTCGTCTCAAAAGTCGGCCGACTCGAACGGGATTGACTTTGACGATTTAGATGAAGAAGGTAGAACTCGTACTGTGGACGATCTGTGGATCTAATGATTCCACGTAGAACAAACCAGCATGCTTCAGGAGACCCGCGAGGAGGAAGTTGACCATAAGGACGTGGAAGCTGCAGTCGTGGTGAAGGATGACGACCACAAGGCGACCGCCGCCCCAACTGAAGCGGCGGCAGTGTCGGACTACGATGAGGTTGCATTGACGACGTAACAGTCCCCTAACCTAATTATTGCCACTGACCCTACCACACCTTGAGATTCATACTAAAACTATTGGAGATTTTTCGCTAAGTTTGCCATATGGACGTCGTCGCATTGAACCGTTAAGAAGGATGGAATTCGCGCTGCTCCTTGTACCAGGTGAACTCGTTTGCGCCCCAGAGGTCGATTCAGTGTAGGCTTTGCCTTGTCTGTACGGCAAGTCCGCAGCTAAATTCAACTAAGTGCTACGTAGTAATACTATGTATTACTGTATTCACAAAACTAGAATGCTCTCTACCGTTATTGTGCTTTCGAGTGAAATTTCGTGTTGTGGTTTCTCGTTGGAATTTAAATCGATTTGATTGGCTACTTCAGATGAGCTCAAAATTATTAACCAATCAAAACCTTCTCAATGAAATTCAACCAATCAGACGGATTGTGTATTGGTTTGGTTGGCGCGATTCGATCTCCCCAAATTTGTATCAAATCGACAATATTGAATATAACGGTTTCATTTGAATATAACGTGATCGAGTTAAACAACTGGCACACCCGGACGCAGCGCTATTTAAAAGAAGAGGAGTTTGACCAAGATCACCCACAGCAGATTCGTAGCCCTAGAATCGAGTAGTAAGACGAGCATAAACCCAAGTCAAAACCAACATACCCGATAAACGACAGGAACGGCAGCAGCTTCTCCTTGGACAAGTACTCGGCAGCATAGCCCCACACGTTGATCAGGAGAAAGTAACACGACCACGCCATCGAGATGAGCATCGCGACCCAATCCACGGCATCGGCGGGAGCCGTGCAGATAAACTAGTCAAAGGTGACGAATAGTTTATTTATCCGGACGACGTACCATCACTGGAAGGAACACCGTGAGGGAATACCCATAGAGGCAGATCAAGAACGACAGTGGCAACGGAACCGCCCAGTATTTCCCCACACCCCACAGCACTACGGGCAACCCGAGCAGGTACAGCCCGACAATGGTCATGGCGGTGGCGACGCGGCTAAAGTCGTAGGACCACAGCGTAGGGTCTCCCGTGTGATCCAGCCAGGACGCAATGTTGCTGCAGCTGGCCAGGCAAAACACCAGCGTGGCGCTGATCCAAAATGGACCGTACGCGTCGGGAGCGTTGAGCGCCATGTCCTTGAAGCTCGGGTCTTGCTTGAAGGGAAGAAGTGCTCGCGTCAAGCGCACTTGAATGTCGATCGTGTCCACGTTGAAGTACTAAAGTATGGAAACATGACGACCGTCAGGGGAAACAAACGATAGTGATGGTAGAATATGGGACGCACGGGTTGATAGAACGCCAGCGTGAAGCAGCTGCACAGACCACCCGCAGGGCGACTACTCTTCCCTTTCAAGAGACCGTCTTCGGCTACGCATTGATCAGTGAATCCACTCGCGTCCACACCAAGTCTTCCACATACCCTTGGGCGACATCGTGCCACCTTCCAAATCCCCGCCGTCTTCGACTGACACCTCTGGATGGCCACAGGTAAGAACACCCTGCAACGCATACATATCAACTTACCAAAATGAAGGCCATGAGATCGATCGTTCATGGCAAGCGCTGCCGCAGCTACATCGGGTGACGAAGGCTCCATCATGTTGGCTTGCCTTGCGATTATTCGAACGACAGCACGTCTCGACTGTTGTATCCGGATTGTTCGGGAAAGTATCCGGATTTCCGTAAAACCATCGACGGTATACGGATAAACATGTTGAAGTTGATACTACAGTAGTACAGAGTACTGTAGAACGAACGATTTCATAGTTGGCAAAGTCTGGCAGCCAAACGCAGTGGTCAACATGCTATCCTTCCCATTGAGAGCAACGATATAATGAAACACCATGTACGAGTGCTCCATACCTCCCTACCCAGAGACACGTCCATGGTATCCATGACAACCGTCTTATCGGCTAAAAATAGCTCCACTCGAAAATCTACCCTTCAGTGCCCGGTCACTTGGCCATCGTTCCGCCAGCAACAAACCACTCATGGCACACCGCTCGCTATCTTTGTGGATCTACGCAGCTGCCATCTTTGTTGCCACGACTGCGGATGCCGGCGGAAGTGGCATCTGCTACGACTCATTTCAAGCAATCGGCAATGTCGACGCACACTTTACCTTTCTCAGGGGCAAATTTGGGGCCGTGCGTACGTACCAAACGTCCGTGGCCAACCAAGTGAACCTCATCGACGCTGCGGCCAAAGCAGGTCTCCAAGTGGCCGCCGGCGTTTGGCTCCGCGGTCCCATTGCCTTCGAGGACGACTTGAAGGCGGCCGTGGACGGAGTGAAGCGACACCCAACCAACGTCATGGCTGTTTACGTGGGTAACGAAGACTTGGACCACGGGTGGAGCGCTGAACAGGTCGTGGACAAGATCCGCGTTGTCCGGGCAGCATTTGCCGCCCAGGGCCTCGGCAACGTCCCCATCGGCACCGTGCAAACCGACGGTCAGTTTTTGGCTAATCCGGACCTCGCCGCGGCGTGCGACGTCGTGGGGGTGAACATCTACCCGTTCTTCGATTCGTCGGCGTTCTCTATGTTGTTTCCCGTGGACAACTTGGACAAGAGATATGCGGCCATGGTGCGTACGTTTGGGCAAAAGGTGCGCCTCACGGAAACGGGGTGGCCCAGCGCGGGGATTTCGCAAGGCAACTACGTGTCCAGTCGAGCCAACGCGCGGCAGTACTTTAAAGACTACGAGGTGTGGGTCGCGGGGCTGACGGGGGCGTCGAGCCAGTGGCCATTCTACTTTCAATTCGCAGACGTGCCCGCCAAGGGGGGCTTCGAAGCCCACTTTGGGCTTTCTGTGGATGGAGCGTCCTGGAAATTTGACGTCGTTCCCACCACCACCCCTGCCCCAACGACCACCACGCCGCCTCCCACAACCACCACCACGACGCCGAAACCGACCACTACCACCCCCAAGCCCACCACCACTACTCTCGCGCCAACCACTGCACCAATTACAGGCGGGGCCGCGGGCAATTCCTCCAGAGCCCCCACAGCCGCCGCGGCGGAATTCCCAAGTGGCGGCAATGGTAGTAGCGCTGCCACCACCACCCTAGAACCGACGAATTCACCCTTGTCCAATGCCAATGGTGTCCAAGACTCCAGCGATAATGTCATGTTGGCCAACACTGCAGAAAGCAAGACTACCAGCGGCAGTAGCGGTGCTGCGGCTGGATGGAGTATTCTCGGTATTGTAGGGGGGCTAGTCGTGGGGTTTGTTGCCATTCGAAAGTATCGCCAGTACCTGGACAAGAAAGATCGAGACGTAGGCCGCGACGCCAGCGGTCGCACGTTTATGACGTACCAGCGTGGTGAAGTAGCTATATTGTGATTCGAATATATATGCCTGGTACAAATCCTGTAGCCACGTTTATAGATCCACTGCAGTTTACTAGTATCATGCGAGTTCAGCAAATTTGGATCTAGGTTCCTTTCCATTCGCAAAGGATTCGAACGGACATGTCGGTACTGGGTATATACCGTACTTGAAAAAAACGATCTTTGTACCCTTGGACTTGACATGAATGTACGTTTGTACTTGGTTTTCAATCAACCATCATCATGTCGTAGTAATGCATGCAACCGTTGCTTTGCTTACAAAACATCGCGGGATTGAGAGCCTGAACTAGGCAGCAACCTCTCCTCGTCGCGGCCCATGTTAGCGGGTAGTGACGTGGGAGACTCACACCCCTTCAACGATAGCGTTTGGTACTCTATGTCGACGTTGAAGTTGTCAGCTTCAAGTCACAACAAGTGGGCAAAACCTATTGGGTTCTCCGTATTTCCCATCCTTTGTCCGGATAACGTGTGTTTAACCCACTGTGAGCAGTTGAAGTCCCATGCGACCCTACGTCTGTAACGGAAACTCATTTTCAAATTGGTCGGACACGTCAACGAGCGATGCAGAAGCCGAGGTCACCACAACCTTCTGTCCAACAAAACTCCCAGTACACCACCGCCTTGGACTTCGCCGCCGTGAAGATGTCTGAGCGTAGCGACTCTACCGTCGTTGCCATCGACGAAAAGGCCCCACTACTGGCGCATCACACGTCGGAATCGTGTGGACCTCAAACATGCATCGACTTGGACGTGGCCACAGACACGCAAGAAGTGTCCAATTCGTGGACTCGTGTGGTGAACGACGTGGTCGTGAACTGCCTGTCGGGAGTGATCGCGTTCATGCTGACCTCCACAATCGCCGTGTCCACGGCGAGCGTCCTCGTCGGCACGGGCACGCCGCTATCTGCCTACGTTGCCAATGCTATTGACATGCATCTCCTTGGAACAGCGCTCATGTGTTTGTTTCTGTCGTGGCAAAGCACGGTTCCGTATGCCATGGGCGCCATCGATGCTTCAGTGTACGTTCCATGGCATGGCAATTCTGCATGGAAAACTCATGGGATATTCTGTGTGTGTAGCGTGCCCATATTGGCCGAGATGGCTCAACGCATTAGCGGAAAGCTGCACCACGACATGGTTACCGTGGTGCCAACAGTCCTCGTGGCCGCGGCCATGTCGTCCGTGTTTATCGGGTGTATCCTCTTCACGTTGGGCTACTTTCGGCTAACCACTATCGTCAACTACCTTCCTTATCCAGGTACCTCCCAACATACAACCTGGCTAAAACGCTCCATTCTGCCGCCTATCTAATGCTTCGGGGTTTGTCCCAGTGATTGCCGGGTTTTTGTCTGGTCTGGGCGCCGTCCTGATCAAAAACGGCATCGAAGTCAGCACCAACGTCGGCTTTCCCACGTCCGTTGAGACCTTGACGTTAGTTTGTCCCACCGTGCTGTTTGTCCTGATTGCGTGTGTCGCAAAACAGTATCGCGTATCTCCCACGGTGACATTCCCCATCTTGATCCTGGGCTCCATCGCTGGCTTCCACTTGGTGGCCTCTGTCGCAGCTGCAGCCATGGACCCAGTCCCGTGGCTATTTGACTGGTCCCCCCACATGCTAGCCACCACCCCCCGGTGGTACTCGTGGGCCGAGCTCTCCTGGGGCAGTGTCCAGTGGACGGTGATGTTTGCATCGCTTGTCGAGATTGTTCCGACCTTGCTCCTCCTCGTGAGTCTCAAGTACTCTGTGCTCATCGGATCGCTCTCGACCATCTTCCAGCGCAATGTGAGTGTCGACGTAGAGATCCAAACCATCGGCAAGGTCAACATCATCGCAGGATTGGTCGGGTGCTGCGGTGGCACGCACTATGTGAGTGCGATGGCCCTTCTAGCCAACTTCAAAGCCCACCCGCGCCTTCCCGTGGTCATTTGCGCCGGGTTGCAGCTCACTTTGTGGGGCGTGGGGCTCACGCCCTTGCTTTACATCCCCAAGTTTGTGTTTGGCGGGTTGCTCATGTACATTGGCGTGCATTTCTTGGAGAATTACATGGTCGCACCGGCGGCGTTTCTGTCTCGCCTGGAACTGCTCACGATTCTCGCGACGATCGGCAGCTTTATCACGCTGGGCGTGTTGCCTAGCGTCGGCGTCGGCGTCGTCTTGTCCATGCTCAACGCCGTGTTGAACCTGCACGTGTCGGGGTGCATCCACCATGACGTGGCACTCCCACAGCACGCCACGTACGTGGTCCACCTCCAAGGGAATCTCTCGTTTGCCAACGCCATGCACGTCTACACCCTCGTGGACTCGCAGTGGCAGCGCCAGCCGTTCAACACCCTTGTGCTCGACTTTGAGCGTGTGGTGCTAGTCGATGGCACGTTTGTTCAGATCTTGCGAAGGCTGCAGACAGTTGCCGACCGATGTCACTTTGACGTGCACTTGTGCCACGTTCCAACGTCGATCGAAGCGCGGTTCTCGACGCTGTCGCTGGCCCAGCACGAAACGCTGGGGCATTTCATGCAGCGCCACCACGAGCCGTGCCATCACAGCGCCGACTCGTACGGCCCGGTGCACGCGGCGTGGACGGCATTCGTCGCCGAGGGGGGAAGTGCCGTCTCCGGCGCGGCGGTCGTGACCAATTACTTGGACGGTGTCGACACCCTCGCCCCGCAAACGTTGTACGATCCCCCCCATGAGGCGTCGTGGGGGTTTCTCTGTCGTGGCCACATGGACATCTTTGACGCCAATATGCGCGAAAGACGAGGCCATGTTCGATCCGGCCAGGTGATTCCAAGCAACCACGACCACACGATGCTGACTGTGACAGAGTGCGTGGTGCTCCGGATGCATGCGACATCGTGGCGACATCTCCAAGTGGATCACCCTCCCGTGGCCATTACCCTGCTCGAGCTCTTGAATCGACAGATGACGCAGTGGAATGATGCTAACGCTAGTAGCCCATCAAATGACATGGCTAAGTATTAACATCGTTCAGTGAACACTGTGTGTACCCCTAGATTGTACATTTCAACCGGCCTTCGTCAACACGTGCGAAGCTCGACATAACGTTAGACATAGCTTTGCGAACAAACTACTGTTGGAATATAGATTGCACCCAAGCTCTATTATAACTTATATTACGAAGGCGAAAGGGTCTAGTACATGGGGATGACGGGGGGCACGTGGTCCTCGGTTGTGACACAAACGTAGACCGATCGTGGTGTTTCGACTCGCGAGTTAAACAAGTGATGGGCGCAATTGTGGGCGATCTCGTGGTGGTTATACAGTAAATCACCCCAGTCGTCGCCTCGAGCAGCTATCGCCAGCATTTAATCAAACGAATCATATATCTAGGCAATCTAGTTGACGTGATGGGGACTACTGCCTACCGGTGTGTGCGCGACGGCGAGGTGAGGTCGGGCTACTACTATCATCGTAGCCGAAGTCAAGCATGGTGGTAGACGGCTCTTGAAACGACGTTATGCTTAGTAACGGCGGGAGTATGTCTCTGGGGTCGCGCCACAAGTAAAGCAGTCCGTCGGGATGAACTACGTGACCCACGACGTCGGGGAGGGGGGTAGAAGGCGGAAGTGAAACGTTTCGAACGTGGGGTATGCGCGTTGGCTTGGAGGGTTATGCTTAGCCAGTCTGTGCCTGCTTTGCGGACCATGTCGACGACGAGATCGTCAGAAAAGGCCTCCCATCCAACCATTTGCTTATCAAGACCAGATATAGGCATGACCATCTTGACGTGTATGCATGTGGAGCCCCCTCCACTCTTATGTTGCACCACCATGCAGAAACTCAAACTCACCGTCCACCGAATGAGGCTTTCGAACTTTTTCAAGTTCACACAAGTTGTGTTGTGTGCCTCTTGGTTGCGTTGTTTAACACAACGCAACCAAGAGGAAGTGTTTGTGATTGGTCACTATCAAAGTACATACTTGCTTTTTGTATACTGGAGAAGTATTAAAAAAATACCTCCCTTTTACGAACTCTTTTATCCGGATGAGTACAATACATGCTGGCGACACCATGGTAGCTGCCGACTACACCATCGACAACGGTGCGACTGCTGCGCTGGACGTCGTTCTTTGGGTGCCCAAGCGGTTTCGAAGCATTGATCATGTGACAGTGGTCTCAACGATCGATCAGGTGAGGTATGCTTGCTTGTGCGGCGACGCGGGCAAGCTCGGTAGCGGGTCTGTCACGATGTAGACAACGGTGACTCAATTGCGCGTTACCGAAGTCGGCCTGGAGCCGCCAACGTGGCCCCGCTGCAGACACCGCTGCCGCTACCACTCTCGACAACTGGCGACTGCATCTCGATCGTGTGCTGAGGCTGCTGCTGACGACATCGTAGACCAAGGTTCGTCGCAATGTGGCACCACCGGCCATCGTGGCTACCATTGAGTGCCCGGCGGGGTTGTCAAAACTGTAAATAATCCGGATAGAACTGTAAAATAGCGTTTACAGTCGCACCAGTGGGGAAGCTCTAACGTGATTACATCGTTGACTGCCTAGAAAACCTCGTCCACCAACAACTACGAAGGAGGCAAGAGTACAGTATGTGGACAGTACAGTACGATCGTATGTCGCGCAGTGTATCAATCCACCATACTGCAGGTGTTACTTTAATGTGGATCCTTCATCCTTTGAAAGTGCGATACAGTAGCGGTTTTTTCTGGCAAGAATGTCGGCCAAGCTGTTAGCCAAAGATGATTTATATGTATGCGTCTGGAGGTACTCTGGAGTAGTAAGTACATTGTACTACTTCCAATTTCCATAATAAAGTTCGCACTCCTCGCTTTCGCTGTGGTCGTCGCTGCCTTGGCTCAAGACCTAATTGTCCCAGCCAAAGACGCTTGCGGATATAAGCCCCCTGGAGCACCTCGTCAGCACGAAACCCCCGTCGTTTAACGTGTACGAATAATGCAAAAATCACGTAGTTTATCGTGTCAAATCACGGATTTGGTACAATATCTTGGATAGAGTACGGAAACGATACAATAAAATAGGTCAATTCAAAATTTTGGGGCATTTAGTCAATAGGGAGGGATAAACGATGATTGGGACGAAGGTTGACCACGCAGCCACCATGACAACTGCATACACAGCGAGTTCGTCGATTTATCGCCACTACATGTGTGAATTAAAGTTTGTACCTCCGATTTGAATCCAGCTTCATCAAGCTGGCGATACTGGTAGAATTGTAGGACAACTCAACCTTCAATGCTGTACAGCAAACTACTCGTAAATGATAAAATGTAAAAAGTGTACTAGTAGTCATCAGCGGGATTTGAATCCTCTACAGTGAACTCGGTATTAACTCGCAAGTGTTGCACTCCAAACTATTTTAGAGTTTGTATGGAGCCATCAATTATCAGTTTTGGAATTATTTTCTTCCAATTGTACAGGTGAACGTTTACAACTGCATTCAATCGGCCTTTGATCCGCACAGCGCCATGCCGATGTATGCGAAGACTTTACAGTCCTGACAAAAACTATAGACGCACTCGAGTTTTTGAAATATTTAAAAAAATATTCAGTTTTGAATCATCGTACTTTGGGATTATACTTTGAATTGGTATCGAATTGTGATACTAGTCTAAAAATTGTGAAATCCATTTTACTTTTTTGTAAAATTGAGAAAAACCAGTTTTCAGGGTGATAAAAACTATAGACGCACTGAGATTTCATTCACTATTTATCGATTGCACCTCTTTTCAAAACTACTTGAGCCATTCTTGTTGGCATACCTTCCTCAAGATTTTGGAGGTAACTTCCCTGCAGTTGCTCCCAAGAAACGCGAATCTGGACCTTGAGTTCATCCACGGTGCTAAATTGGCGCCCTCCTTGGTAACCTAGCCAGGATAACCGGCCCCATACGTTTTCAATTGGGTTGAGATCGGGGCTTTTGGCAGGCCAATCCATTAAACCAATGCCGCTTTGCTCGATATGAGCTCTTTTGAATCGTGAGACGTGGATGGAGGCGTTGTCTTGTTGAAAAATTGGGTCAATTATGCCATGTTGGCAACGCAGTTTTCCCAGAAATGGCAACAGATACATGCCCAACGTCCTGCAGTAACTAGTACTGTTTTGTTTGCCTTCGAGAAAGGCCAATTCAAAGCGTCTAAACGCGCTCATTCCAGCCCAAATCATGACATTTCCACCGCCAATCACTCGTTTGGTGTAAATTTCTTGCTCATTTCTGAGTTCGTGCCAGTAGTATTGATAGCCATCTGGGCCATCCAAATTGAATTTGTTTTCGTCACTGAAGACGATGTTGGCCCAGAGGTTTGATTTGGACATCGATTCGGCAGCAAATTTTGCCCTTGCCTTCTCGTGGTGTTTTTTGAGAGCTGGGCGAGGTTATCTCTTGATGTCCTTGGCAAGCTTTGTTGAGTGCAGCCAGTGTCGCAATGTAGATGCTTTTACTGTGTTATTTAGTGCTTCGGCGATCCGTTTGGACGAATAATGCTTAACCGTGGCGAGGCGAAAGATTTGTCTCAACATTCGTTTGGTGACTTTTGGCTTACGACCAATTGGTTTATTGGGTCTTGGCGTAGTTTTAGACTTCAAACATGTCCTCATGGCCTTTTCACTGCATACAATGGCCTTAGCAATGTAGCGATTGTTTTTGCCTTCATTGTGAAGGGCATGAACGGCGCCAACTTGCTCCGAGGTCAAACGTTTGCCTCTTGGCATGAAAGTTTTTGAATAATGATGATTTGACAAGCTAGGAGAAATTACTTACATTTAGAATGTTCTAGAATGCTTTAATTCGGCAAAAATGGCTAGAAACTTGGCTTTATTTGGATGTAATCTCAGTGCATCTATAGTTTTTATCACCCTGAAAACTGGTTTTTCTCAATTTTACAAAAAAGTAAAATGGATTTCACAATTTTTAGTCTTGTATTACAATTCGATACCAATTCAAAGTATAATCCCAAAGTGCGATGATTCAAAACAGAATATTTATTTAAATATTTCAAAAACTCAAGTGCGTCTATAGTTTTTGTATATTACATTATGTTTCATGCCACACTTCGGCACAGCGCCTACGTATGCGAAGTCCTAGAGAGCTCTCAAAGTAGTCTAAGATAACGCGAAACACGTGTGTATATATGTTTCATGGGAGACAGCGAATTCATAGTCAGCATTTACTATACAGGGTATCCGAACCCAACAATCAATGTAACCACTCCAGTAGAATCTGTGGTATATTCATGCCATCAAATTTATTAGCTGAATGCTAACAACTTTTCTTGCCGGGGTGGAGGCCCAATTGGCCCGGCGACGGCTCGCCCGTCACCTCCTTAAAGTACAAAGCGAACGTGGCCTTTAGCTCCTCGATGTATGCGCGATTTTCCATCCACTTTTGGAACGCGAGCGAGTTGGCGCGCTTGACGTCCCACGCCTTGGACGCACCTTCGATATCCGTGCGCGACGAGAAACCCTTCATGACAGTGTTTTGCACTTCCTTGGATACAATCCAGTTGACGAAGAGCTTGGCCGCGGCCGGATGCGGCGCCTTCTTCAGAACGGCAATGCGTTGGCCCCATGAGAGGTAGTCCGAGCCCGCACCATCGCCCGTTGGCTCGACAACCGTGGGGGTGTTGACCTCAGGGACGGAGCCCGCGACACCAATGGCGTGGGTCTTGTTGGCCACGGCTTCACCCGCGGTATGGGAGCCGCGGTTGAACTGGACGTTGTTCTCGGCAAGCTTCTTCACCCAGTCCCAACCGTACTCCTTGACATACCGGTCGTACACAAAGAGCGATGCGTCGTCGTCGTGCGGCCACGAAGACGCGATCAAGCCCTTGTACTTGGGATCCGCGAGGTCCTTGGCCGTCTTGGGTACATCGATGCCCTTCCCCTCGAGGATCGCCGTGTCGTAGAAGTAGCTGAACGTAAAGACTGCGTGCGAGTACCACGTCCCGTCGGCGTCCTTGAAACCGTCGTAGATGCCCGAGAAGCCCTTGGGCTTGTACGCCAGTAGCTTGTCTTCCTTCTTCCACCGCGGGTAGTCTTGGAGCGTCTGGAGCGCAATCACGTCGGCCACGAGCGAGTTGGTCTCGAGTTGGTTGTCCACCCGCGCGTTGTGGTACTTGGAGTAGTCGACGATCATGGTCAAGTTGATATCAGGGAATTTGGCTTTGAACGCATCCGCGGTGTAGTTTTGCTGGTCGGGAGTATCACCACCGTGGTACACGACGAGGTTGCCTCCTTCTTGGATAGCTTCTTGGTAGAGCTGGGCGAGCGTCTTGGTCTCTTCATCGATGACTGGCTTGTGGGTTCGAATGTAGCCGTGGACGGTAGCCAGGAGAGGCAAGATCGTGAGAGAAGACGTAAGCTTCATGAGTTGATGTTGTCGACCGTGTGTGTTGAAAGTGGAAAATTGAAGAATGACGATTCTCTTCTGAGGAGACCAAAGTGGAGTGATTTCACCAAGGTCTACTGTAGTCTTTCAATTGAGGTACACGGTGTTTCTCAAGAAGTCCTTTGAAGCCGGTGATTGCTATAACTAGTATTGTCTACTAGTATTTGTGTCATCCTAGTACACTACTACGTAGTATGAATAGTACAGTACCCTGTTGGTACCCTATTGGCCTATTGGTACCGTGTACCGATTTGTCAGATCCGAAAAGAAAAAACCCTCTAATTAAATATTTTGGTGTATCATTGTAAAACAAATTGGACTCGTTTCATGGACCAGAGTGGTATGTGCGTAAACAAATGGGACTAGTGTGGTATGTGCGTAATCATATCCCTTAATGTCCTAAAATGGCCCATGCCATAACCAAAAG